GATTTACCCCGTATTCTTGTACAGGGAAATTGAGTATTCAGGTCAAGACCACATACAGCCGTTTCAATACGGGCAACAAAAATAATAATGTGTCTATTTCATCATGAGACCTCCTTTGGCAGTAGCAAAGCATAATAATAGGTTTTTAACCCTTTTAATCTGGCAACATAACTGATAACTGTTTTTTTTTTACAAGAGATCATGTTTTGCATTAACCACAATACCTGCGGTCAAAATTCAAACAAAAAAACAACTCTGATAATGACTGCATCTGTTGCCAGATAAAAAAAGGGTAAAACAAACCCCTATTATTATATTTTGCTACTGGCAAAGGAGATCTCATAATGTAAATGCTTACCCCGAGCTCTCAATACTCTGATGGTGCGTTGTTGTCTTTGAGTCGTGCGCCTTTTGGCGTCATCTGGTCCAACATCGACGTGGGACTGGGCTCGAAGAAAAGCTGTCTCTGGTGTGGACCAATCAATTTCAAGGACACTGCATTACATTATCAGAGTGCTGTTTTTTGTTTGCATTTTAACCGCAGGTATTGCGGTTAAAATGCAAACATGATCCCTTGTAAAAAAAGGTATCAGTTCTTTTTTTGCCAGATAAAAACGGTAAAAAAAAACTATTATCATAATGTGTCTATTTGTTTGTGTTTGTCTCTTTGCGATGGGACTTTGTCGCACGAACGTTGAGATTTCTAAGGGACACGGGGTGACCGATACGGCCTCAATTGATAACCACCACGGTGAGATTTGTTATCAACGACAGCAGTGCACAAACAAACAACAACAAACAACTGACTTAAAAGGCGAAAAACTATTATCACCAGACGTGAATTTGATCAGGTGTACGCTCGCGTAACTTGTACGTAGCCACTCGGATATTGGAAGTGACGCAGTTTGTTATTTTAACCGTCAAGAAACGCAGTAAACCCCCCCCCCCCAAAAAAAAAAATGTAAACGTCACGAAAGAGCAATGTGCTTTGAATGACCGCTGACCTTGAGCAAAAGGAGGTGACCGCCACGGGAGTCTGAATTGTGCAAAGAACGAGGGTCGCGCCCTTCCCCCCCCCCACCCAACGTTAAATGTTCGAGACCGTGAGCTGTGACGGAGTGGATGAATGTGAATTTGGGCAAGAGGAGGCCGCAGATAAATAATAATGATGATGATAGCCTCCATGGTGCGATCTGTACGAGGAGAAAAATCGTAAACATCTACCCTTCGATTCAAGGAATGAAACAGGGGAATTTCCACACGAATCTGGCGGTCTGCCTGATGATCTGCTGGTTGTAATTACTGGCGAAACGTCGTAATCAGATTGTGAATGTTGTGGATTTGCTCTGCAACACAAAACCGGTTAGTGCTGTACTAGTAACGAATTGGCCACGTTTTGTTTACGTGACAAACACCTTACTGATTGTCTGTGTCGGGTGGTGGCGGGTTTAACGACACAACATTTATTTTTATGCAATCTAACCCACAAAATCATATACTATGAAATCGTAAACCTGTCAACCCCGTATCAGTGCCCTACCGTATCACTGACCAATTCAGACCTTAATGGTCACCCCGTGCCCCTTAGAAATCTCAAAGTTCATCCTACAAAGTCCCATCATCACAAGGAGAGAAACACAAATACAAATTATTATTTTTTGACAGTATTGAAACGGCTTGTACGGCGCATGAACCTGAACTTAATTTCCCTTTACAAGAATACGGGTGAACCGTATGGGTTGACAGCTATGAAATTGCAATATTAGGGCCCTACCTGAACACCAACCCCCTGAGATGATAATGCAGTCACTATGCTACTGATAATGTAGTTACTATACCACTGATAATGTAGTCACTATGCAACTGATAATGTAGTTACTACACCACTGATAATGTAGTCACTATGCCACTGATAACGTAGTTACTACACCACTGATAATGTAGTTACTACGTCACTGATAATGTAGTTACTACGCCACTGATAATCTAGTCACTACATCACTGATAATGTAGTCACTACATCACTGATAATGTAGTTACTACACCACTGATAACGTAGTTACTACACCACTGATAATGTAGTTACTACACCACTGATAATGTAGTTACTACACCACTGATAATGTAGTTACTACGCCACTGATAATCTAGTCACTACACCACTGATAATGTAGTCACTACATCACTGATAATGTAGTTACTACACCACTGATAACGTAGTTACTACACCACTGATAACGTAGTTACTACACCACTGATAATGTAGCTACTACATCACTGATAATGTAGTTACTACATCACTGATAATGTAGTTACGACACCACTGATAATGTAGTTACTACGCCACTGATAATGTAGTTACTACGTCACTGATAATGTAGTTACTACACCACTGATAATGTAGTTACTACGCCACTGATAATGTAGTTACTACGCCACTGATAATCTAGTCAGTACATCACTGATAATGTAGTCACTACATCACTGATAATGTAGTTACAACACCACTGATAACGTAGTTACTACACCACTGATAATGTAGTTACTACGCCACTGATAATGTAGTTACTACGTCACTGATAATGTAGTTACTACGCCACTTATAATGTAGCTAATATACCACTGATAATGTAGTTACTACACCACTGATAATGTAGTCACTACACCGCTGATAATGTAGTTACTACACCACTGATAATGTAGTGACTAGACCACTGATAATGTAGTTACTACACCACTGATAATGTAGTGACTACACCACTGATAATGTAGTTATTACACTACTGATGATGATGTCGTTACTACGCCACTGATAATTTAGTTCCAATGCCACTGATGTCGTTACTACCCCATTGCTAATGATGCCATTAACTACGCCCACACCGGTTAAAAACTGCGGATGGTTAATCGTTGTGACAAATTTGGATCCTTTGACTAGGACGCGTACAAGTTGAATGCACACTGCCGGCGCTGTATTAAACGAAACCATAATGCCGTTCTGCCATGCGCCTGTGAACCCTATAGGTGTTGCAGGTACCTCTCCTTCGATTGAAAGCCACACAACTGGAAAAATATTTGCGAGTGTCCGATGATGGCTCGTTGTGTCATTCAATTCTGACGCGGGTTTTCCCACGCGAATGAGGATAGCACGGTCACTGTGCTTACGACTGTGGCTTAATCTCGAGTACAAAGGTGATCGGTGATGAGGTCCAACTGGACCCCCATCATGCTGCGTTAGGTGGAAAGCCAATGCTATCCGATTTGAATTGGCATTCATTTGTTCTATTGAAGACGCTGGAGCCAATTCTCCGTTCGTTCGTTTCTCAATCCGCTTTGTCCTGGCGAGGGTCGCGGCGGCAGAGTGTTGAGTAGTGGCGGTCCACACCTCCCTCTCCCTGGCGACATCCTCTAGCTCTACATTACTATACACTATATACTACTATACACTACTACACTATACACTACACTTTACACTACAGCAGCGTGTTGAGTAGCGGCGGTCCAGACCTCCCTCTCCCTGGCGACGGACTCTAGCTCTACATTACTATACACTATATACTACTATACACTACTACACTACACTTTACACTACAGCAGCGTGTTGAGTAGCGACGGTCCAGACCTCCCTCTCCCTGGCGACGGACTCTAGCTCTACATTACTATACACTATATACTACTATACACTATACACTACACTTTACACTACAGCAGCGTGTTGAGTAGCGGCGGTCCAGACCTCCCTCTCCCTGGCGACATCCTCTAGCTCTACATTACTATACACTATATACTACTATACACTACTACACTATACACTACACTTTACACTACAGCAGCGTGTTGAGTAGCGGCGGTCCAGACTTCCCTCTCCCTGGCGACGGACTCTAGCTCTACATTACTATACACTATATACTACTATACACTACTACACTATACACTACTCTATACACTACACTACTGTACACGATACTACTATACACCCTACATTACACTACTACACTATACATTACTATACACTACTACACTATACACTACTATACTATACACTACTTTACATTACACTACTATACACTACACTACTATACACTATACACTACACTACTTTACACTACACTACTATACATTACTACACTATAAACTACTATACACAGACTCTAGCTCTTCCTGGGGAATTCCCAGGCGTTCCCAGGCCAGCCAAGCGACATCGTCCCCCCAACGTGTCCTGGGCAGGCCCTGGGGTCTCCGCCCAGTGGGACGTTGCTGCCCGGTAGAGTTCCAGAGGGAGTCTACCGGGGGGGGGGGGGCATCCTTACCAAGTGCCCGAACCACCTCGACTGGCTCCTCTCGATCCAGAGGAGCAGCGGCTCGACTCTGAGGCTCTCCCGGATTATCGGGCTTCTCGCCCGATCACTGAAAGGGAGCCAGGCAACCCTGCGGTGAAACCTCGTTTCGGCCCCTCGTACCCGCGATTTCAACCTACCCGGTCATTACCCAAAGCTCATGACCACCATAGGTGAGGGTGGGAACGGAGATCGACCTGTAAACCCAAGAGCTTTGTTCGAGAACTCAGCTCCCACGGAACGCTCCAGTGCCCCCATCGCTGCGGATGCCGCACCGATCCGCGGGCCGATCTACCCGTGAAGCCAAATCTAAACGTTGGGAACAATATCACAACCACTCGACCTTGACCGACGAAAAAAATAATAACATGCAAGCCAAGTACTCCGGCGCCGCTTGTTATTTTTTCTTGCGGCTGTGGATTCGTGACTTTAAACCGTGCCAGCAGATCCAGTGAGGGAGGTGGAAGCGCCGTGCGAAGAGTGCGGGGGGGTGGGGGGGGGGGGCAGATCCCGGCAACGAGACCCCTCGGGCCTGCAAGCAGTGCGGAAAAGTCACTTGGAGTCACCGCGCCGTGCACGACAGACGCCGGCAATAGGAAGAAGCCGCACGCGTGGGGCGAGTGCGGCTTGGGCTTCGGGCTACGTCCCACGTTGAGGGTGCACATGACGACGCACACGGGCGAGGAGCCGCACGCGTGCCGGGAGCGCGGCAAGGGCTTAGCGCAGCGTTCCAATTTGAAGGTGCACGTCAGGACTCACACCGGAGAGCGGCCGCACGCGTGCCGGGAGCGCGGGAAGCGATTCGCTCAGCGATTCGCTCAGCGATTCGCTCAGCCCTTCGCTCCGCGCTTCGCTCAGCCCTTCGCTCAGCCCTTCGCTCAGCGATTCGCTCAGCCCTTCGCTCAGCGATTCGCTCAGCGATTCGCTCAGCCCTTCGCTCAGCGATTCGCTCAGCCCTTCGCTCAGCGATTCGCTCAGCCCTTCGCTCAGCGATTCGCTCAGCCCTTCGCTCAGCCCTTCGCTCAGCCCTTCGCTAAGCGCTCAGCGCTTCACTCAGTGATTCGCTCAGCGCTCAGCCCTTCGCTCAGCACTTCGCTCAGCCCTTCGCTCAGCGCTCAGCCCTTCGCTCAGCCCTTCGCTCAGCACTTCGCTCAGCACTTCGCTCCGTGAATCGCTCAGCGCTTCGCTCAGCGATTCGCTCAGCCCTTCGCTCAGCGCTCAGCCCTTCGCTCAGCGATTCGCTCAGCGCTCAGCCCTTCGCTCAGCGCTTCGCGTTGAAGACGCATCCCAGGACGCACCGTGTAGGGTGGCCGCACGCATACCGGGAGTGCGGGAAGCCGCTGAGCGCGGCGTTCCCGATTGGAGGCGCGCGTTGGGACGCGCGACGGGTGCGGCGAAGGGCTTGCGGCGACGCTCTGACTTGCGGACACACGCAGAAGGGCGCACCGGTTGAGAAGCCGCGAGAGCAGGGGAGTGCTGGGCATGGAGGTTTTTGACACGAGTGAATAAATCAACAATCCTGAGACAGAGATCCCCCGTGTAGCCTGAGCTGACTGTAGGGGCAAGTGCTGTTGGCGAGCACCTACGAAGGCCGGCACTGCACACGAATTGGGTGGGTGGCCAGCACCACGCCCGGCTGCCTTTGTCTCCCCGGTGGCGATGTTTACACATCGACACCAGGGTACTCATTTGAGGCCGAGTCGACCTAGGGGGTGGCCCAGGAACACGGGTCGCCAGGTTCGTAGCGCAGCGCGCTAACCGCTGCACTACCACTCCCCATTCTATGAGCACGCACACACACGCACGCGCATCATGCTCTTTTAATCGAGTTTTGTTTGGATCAGATCACTTAAGCGAAGTGTCAGGAACCCTATTGCACCCAAATACGGTGGAGTTAATAAAGTTGTCGCGTGAACTGAACGTGCCAATGTTGTCCCTGCTTGGGTGACCGGTGTGTTTGAGAGCAATCTGCAATATGTAACAATTTGGTATGGGGTTTCGTTGGTTAGTTAAACTATTTGAACGCTTTTTTTTCTTCTTTGGTTCTTTCGGTAAAGTCACGTAGAATGAGAATAAAATAATAAATTGATAAAATAAAATAACACAATATTATTATCACGACGTTTCGGCTACAACACAAACGACCTTCATCTGGTGACTTTACCCAATAGAACCAAAGAGTATTTAAAACATTTAGATTTAAAGCTTTCGTGACTGCAGTAATTCATATTCTTAGTTTTTTCGGTAAAGTCACGTTGAAGAGAAACAACAAAATAATAAAATATATAAAACAATAAAAAAATTCTCACGACGTTTCGACCATAACTCAAACGGTCATCTTCAGATGTGTTGGTTTGCATAAATTTATTTTTAAACGGCGCATTTATTAAAAAAAAATAGATGGACTAGTCCTGGGCAAACTGCCAAATCGCTGCGCGTGACGCCAATGTTTTTTTATAATTAAATAAATGCGCCGTTTAAAAATAAACTTATGCAAACCAACACACCTGAAGATGACCGTTTGAGTTATGGTCGAAACGTCGTGAGAATTTTTTATTGTTTTATATATATTTTATTATTTTGTTGTTTCTCTTCAACGTGACTTTACCGAAAAAACTAAGAATATTTAAAACATGTTTATTTATTTTTACCAGGCGTGTAAATCTCACTGCCGCGCTGCTGCGTAGTTACAGAAGCGAGCCTGGCGATTACAAATAATAGCAGCTTTGATGATGATGATAACATCATCATCATCAGAGCTGCCAACCCACGTGGTTTCAGTCCGTATTCTTGAAATTGAGTTCCCAGGTCCATGCGGCGTACGCCGTTTCCAGACGGGGCAAAAAATAATAACGCAAAAATAAAATGTTCACGACGTTTCGGGCGCAACACAAATGTCGTGATTTATTTAATTTTATACCAACGTGACTTCACCGAAAGAACCAAAGGGTATAGAAAATAAAATAGTTTAATAGATTTTAACGCTCTGTCCTGCATCTTGTCGCCTCAGTCGTCTTAACCCGCGTCTTGTCGTCTTACCCCGCGTCTTGTCGTCTCAGTCGTCTTACCCTGCATCTTGTCGTCTTACCCCGCGTCTTGTCGTCTCAGTCGTCTTACCCTGCATCTTGTCGTCTTACCAGCGTCTTGTCGTCTCAGACGTCGTCTTACCCCGCGTCTTGTCGTCTTACCCCGCGTCTTCGTCGTCTTCTTACCCCGCGTCTTGTCTCAGTCGTCTTACCCTGCATCTTGTCGTCTCAGGCGTCGTCTTACCCCGCGTCTTGTCGTCTTAGCCTGCGTCTTGTCGACGTCTTACCCCGCATCTTGTCGTCTTGGTCGTCTTACCCCGCGTCTTGTCGCCTTCTTACCCCGCGTCTTGTCGCTCTCTCTCCCCCAGCGCGAGGCGCTGCAGCTGCGGGTGACGGCTCAGAGGACTTGGCCCGGCAGCTCGTCACAGGCTACACGGGGAACCTTTGCCTTTGAGTCGTCCTGATTGGTAAACGATGCATTTCGTGTTTATAACGTCGTTTCAACGTCGGTTTTACGTCGTTTTTAACGTCGTTTCAACATCGTTTTCAACGTCGTTTCTAACGTCGTTTCAACGTCGTTTTTAACGTCGTTTCAACGTCGTTTTTACGTCGTTTTTACGTCGTTTTAACGTCGTTTTAGCGTCGTTCTCGCTACAAAGTCGCCACCACTGCGGTCTGCGGAGTGAGTGAGGCGGCTGGCTAGGGACTACTTTTTTTTGTTCAGGCTCCCCTCCGCATCGGGGCGACGCACAGCGACTCTGTAACCTTCCGCTCCGGGCCCGCCATTTAAACAACGTCGCGAAAGTCGCCTCAACGTTGGGAATCTCCTGACGCCCGCCACTCGCTCACTCATCCAGCCACCCACCAGTCACTCATCCAGTCACCCACCAGTCACTCATCCAGTCACTCACCAGTCACTCACCAGTCACTCACCACTCACTCATCCAGTCACCCACCAGTCACTCATCCAGTCACCCACCACTCATCCAGTCACCACTCATCCAGTCACCACTCAATCATCCAGTCACCCACCACTCACTCATCCAGTCACCACTCACTCATCCAGTCACTCATCCAGTCACTCATCCAGTCACCCACCAGTCACTCATCCAGCCACCGACCAGTCACTCATCCAGTCACCCACCAGTCACTCATCCAGTCACTCATCCAGTCACCCACCACTCACTCATCCAGTCACCCACCACTCACTCATCCAGTCACTCACCACTCACTCATCCAGTCACTCACCACTCATCCAGTCACCCACCACTCACTCATCAAGTTACCCACCAGTCACTCATCCAGTTACCCACCACTCACTCATCCAGTCACCCACCACTCACTCATCCAGTCACCCACCACTCACTCAACCAGTCACCCACCACTCACTCATCCAGTCACCCACCAGTCACTCATCCAGTCACCCACCACTCACTCATCCAGTCACCCACCACTCACTCATCCAGTCACCCACCACTCACTCAACCAGTCACCCACCACTCATCCAGTCACCCACCACTCACTCATCCAGCCACCCACCACTCAGAAGCGACCTGGCGAGCACAAATGATAGCTCAACCAAGTGGCTCATCATCATGATCATGTGTGAGTTTGTTAGTCTCTGTGTGAGTCTATGTATCTATGAATTTATGTGTCTGTGTGTGAGTCTATGGGTTTCTGTGTGGGTCCATGGGTATGTGTGTGAGTCTATGCGTCTCTGTGTGAGTTTATGGGTATCTGTGTTCATCGGTATCTGTGCGAGTTTATGGGTCTCTGTGTAAGTTTATGGGTCTCTGTGTGGGACTATGGGTCTCTGTGTGGGACTATGGGTCTCTGTGTGAGTCTAAGTGTGTCTGTGTGAGTTTATGGGTCTAAGTTTTTCAGTTTATTGCTGTTTTTTCCTGGATTTTTCTGTTGCGTGTAGTCACTTTAAGATGTTTCTTGTTCAAGTTTTTGCTTGTTGCGGTTGCACCCGATTCAAGAGCCGAATGGCTCACAGGGCTATACCTAATAAACGAAACTGAAAACTCATCCAGCCACCACTCACTCATCCAGCCATCCACCACTCACTCATTCAGCCACCCACCACTCATCCAGCCACCACTCACCCACCACTCATCCATCCTCCACTCACCCACCATTCATTCACTTATCCGCCACTCGTCCATCCACCACTCATCCATCCACTCATCAATCAGACACCCATCCAAAATCGATTACCCACGATTTTTATTAAATCCGCGACCGTCTTCCCCATCCATCATTAAAGCTGATCATCTTGAACGTCTTTTGCAGCATCCGTAGCTAACCGAGCTAATTGGAGGTGCGGGGGAACAACAAACTAAACACAACAAGGACGACTAGTGATAAAGAAATGAGTTTTATGTCTGAACGTCTTTTTGTTTTGCTTGTTCCTCAGATGGCTTCATGCTGTGATCTCCCCCCAATCAACGAAGGAAAATTAAGACAATCCAAGCTTTGGGATTGTGGTCTGACTTTATGATAATGATGATGATGATGGAACGTGAAGATGCAGATGCTGGTGGGATCATTTGAACAAAAAACAAATCTCGGACAATCACACTTCAAGCGTCCGTACAGCGGAAATTCTTCATTTGTATGCTGGAGAGTTCATCGGCAACATTTACAGGGGGGGGGGGGGGTGGGGGCGGTCCCCGATATTCGTCATCTCGATGTGCGTCGTTTCGCTGCGGGCCTTTTGAGGAACCCAACGTGAAATTTCCCCAACGTGAAATGTCCACCGCACGCGCGTCGCTTACGCCATTTCCCGCTCGGTTTAGCCGAGTCGGCAACACGTACCCTAACAACTCGTAAGAACGCACTGGCAACGCGTTGAAGCGCGCTGCAAGACAGCTCGTATTTCGCGCGCGAGCCGCCATCTTCTCGGCCCCATCGTGGTCTCCCCTCGCTCACGTTGTGCGTGAGCTACGAGGCGCCCCTCGTAGATCGGCGCGCGGACTTTCATCGCGAAACGCCGTCCCCGGCCCATGCGACGATGAGCGGCAAGCGTGGCGCCGGCGCCGGCGACGGCGCGGGTGGCGAGCGTCGGAAAAAGCGCAGTAGCATCGCGCTTGACGTTAAAATGGAGGTGATAAAGCGGAGCAGGGAGGGCGAACGCGCGGTCGACATCGGGCGCCGTTTGAATCTTCCCCCAACGAGCGTGCGCACGATAGTGAAGAATGCCGACGAAATCGAGAGCAAAGCCAGGCACGTGCTCAAGCACTCGGAGGTGAAAATTACACGGCAGAGGAGCGTCCTCATGGAGCAAATGGAGCAGTTGCTGGCGTTGTGGATCGAGGATCTGCACAGCAAGCACGTGCCGATCAGCTTGTCCCTCGTTCAGGAGAAGGCCCTGAGCCTGTACGAGGACTTGAAAAGGGAGTTGGGAGAGGCAGAAGCGGCGAAAGAGAAGCCATTCAAGGCCGCCCGTGGATGGTTTTACAGATTTCAGGCACGGTATAGTTTCAAGGACGTTAATATACAGGGAGAGTCGGCCAGCGTCGACGCAGATGCTGCCGAGACGTTTCCAGAAAGACTTGAAATCGTTGAAGGAGGTGGGTATGATCCTAGACAGGTTCTTAATCCTCTCCCAACGCCTTCTCCAATCAAGCGCAACTCATCCACCCCTCGAGGTAAGATCGTAACAATGATTGGTTAAGGTAAAATATGTTTTTTTAAGATTCGAAAATGGTTTTCCGGTTGAGTCATTGCTTAAAAAAGTATTAAAACAATAGGAAAAGGTTTTAAAGTGTAGAGAGATGCTTCTAAACGCTTCTAAACGTCTTAAACGCTTCATTGGTTTTCAATTAAGTGTTTGAGACTTTTAATGCTGTCTAAAGGTTCTTGAATTCAAAATCGGTGATAGATGTGTATATTATGTGTAGAGTATAGTACTGTACACGTACAGTATCTGGCTTTCTGTATATGTATAGTACATATTTTGGTTGCCAGTTATGAAACAACATTCCCCCAAGTTACGGTCCCTTTCCCTACCTTGTTCCATTGTTTCTTATGGGAGGAATTGCCCTCCTTTGCGTCACAGAGGCAATGTTTAAGCTCTTACGGTCCGTATCCCCCTCCCCCCCATTTTCATGTATTCCTATGGAGGGAAATGTCCCCATAATAAATCGTTTCGTTATAAGTCCCTAACCCCGACGTACAGGCGACCCCCGTACCTACGACCTAATTGGTTCCTGAATGACGGCCGCAAGTCGAGCCGTTGTAAATCGAGCCCCTTATTTCCCCTAGGCACAATGTTATATATTGGGGCTCCGTTCCTGGAAACCCGTTATGCAACGTAAAAATAACAACATTTACCAAGGAAATAGATTAAAATAACCCTAACAACCATTTATTGTAACATCGTGGCGTTATCTTCTGGGGTTGATCCCTGAGACAAATTACATGAGGCTCTATGCTGACTGTAGGAGTTCCACAGAGGGACGATTCTTCATGACGTGACCAACGAAACGCCACCGTAACATTTTTTTTGCCTAGTTATTCCGTTGTGTTATTGGTGTCGCAAAGATATTTACAGTTCACATCATTGCTCTGGGAAATTGAGACATGTTGGGGGAATTGCCACGGAATGATTTTGCAAAACGATTTTTAAAGTAGCTTTAAAAGGCTTTTTTCACCATTCTGTAGCAACCATTTTACGTGCCCTAACACGTTCGTTTTTCCATGTATCAATAAAATAAAACATTCTAATTTGATAAACACTCAGTAGAAAAACATGTAATAGGATATTTTATTTTGCATCAATTGGTGGCTGGGACAATCAACATTTTAGCTCAGATTAAATCGCGTGCAGTTTAAACCCAGATTCATAATCTAATCTTGGTGTTTTTTTTACAGCATTTTATATCTCGAGCTGGCCAGACACCTCTAGATCGTGCCACTTTTTTCGAAGATCATCTGTCATTTTATTTTTAATGGATATGTGTAGGAGCAGTCACGAAGCAAGAAGATGAAGGGAGTCTGGGCACCGAGAGGCTGAGGATTGTGGTGAAAACTGAAGTGGAGCAAGACGGTAAGAGGCCTGCCTACGCATGAAGTTACCCCGCGTCAAACTCGCGCAATAAATCAGGAATTTTAAGAGCATGAGGACAAACACGTCCTTAGCAGGCCAGCTTGGCAGTCTGATTATTGTCTACTGATTGTTGTGTTCAGTTTGTTGTCCTTCCCCCGCACGTCCGATTAGCACGGTTGGCTAAGTACGGTGTGAAATAAGATGAACATGCATACAATTTACTTGCCATAAAAGACAGTGGTGCATTGTCTGAATCGCAGCTCCAGATCCGAATCGTTTTAAAGTGGAAGAATCCAGTGGGTGGCCAGAGGAGACCGGGAATTCCCTCGAATGTTTGGTCACTGCAGACCAGAACTTCATTGAGGTGGAGTTGTCAGAAGAGGACTTTGGTGGAGGTGAGTCCCAGTTCACCACACCTCTCTTCAAGTCCAGCTCCCTTACAAAGGTCCTGACGGGTCCACCATCTTCCATCGCGTCCTCCTCCACTATTGGCAGTCGTACATTCCAGTCCTTACTCCTGCGGCTCTTCTCGGTCCATAATTTTTCTCGGCCATCCTCTGCCTCTTTTACTGCCCACCATAATTGCCATTGTTCCCTTAATCTCCCTCTCCATAACCACCGCCACCATTATTGTTCCCTCTTCATATTCTCATTATACATCTATCAATCATTAACCCCATTAATTTAATCCATTCATCATAATTTACTGTCAGAATAATAATTATTTTAATTATACGGCTATCACTCATTAACCCCATTCATGCTATCCACTCATCATCATTGACTGTCAGAATAAGAATTATTCTCTTACGACTATCCCTCATTAACCCCTTTCATTCAATCCACTCATCATCATTTACTGTCATCAATATTGCTTTCACCAAATTTACGCATCACAGATTCTTCCCCCCATTGCTTCCGCTCATCTATTTAAGGCACGATATACATTCAGTTAAGATAAGATTCCTGTTTGGTGCCAATCTTATGACACGACCATACTAGAGAAGTCTGCATTATTACAGCATGGGGGAAAAATTGTATCTTGTTAAATTACTAATGCTGCTTACTATAATAACGGAAAGGTGAAAAATAACTTCATAGAAGTCATCCAAGTCCGTGTAATCCCACATCATGTCAGACAATGGGCACAGCTAGAATGCCCTATTGTTCACGCTCAAATAACCAGCAAAAGTAACTCACACCCCGTTACCATCCTTAAATTAAAAGAGTTGCGATTCAATCTCTGACTCACTACCCCTCCCATAGGAACAGGTTAACAGATTTAACTCGTCAGCCCAGACAGCTGCAAAGCCTTAACTAATGGCAGGAAAAAGCTAACCCCCCTGTGCGAGTGGCTGCCTGGCTGGCTCGTGGGCCATTTGCTAAGAAGCTTCAAAGAACGATCCGGAACTTGAGACTAAATGACCTCCCAAATGAACTGCTTGAAGGGAGGGTGGGCACATGTACAGGTTACCCTACACTGCACCATAATTACAACTGCCAGGAGCACAATACAGGCAGTCCCCGGGTTACGGAAGGGTTAGGTTTCCAAGAAATATCCGTCACCCGAATTTTCCGTATGTTGGAAACTGAAAAAGTTTCCATATCCGGAAATAGTTGTGCCTCCCCTACCATATTCTCTCAGTTCTGTATCACGCTGCCGTGCTTTTGCTATCGCTACCCGTATCGTTTGGCGAGGGTTTGACTTAGAAGTCACCAGCCGCCACTGTTTTTCACACAAGGCCATGGGTCCAAGGATAACATTGGGCTTCTCGGGTATGATGCGTACCGTAGACTCAAGGTTATCCACGCTAATGACGGGGAGGACGGCCGCGGACAATTCAAAATTGCGGATAATCCAAAAATGTAACCATTTTCCACGGATCTCTATGCCAAAAACCACTCAGTTATATTTAAGTTTCTCTGCTGTCACACAGTTTCACAAATTAACACTCGAATACAAACAATCGAAATCGAGTGCTTAGCGGTAACTCTTTCCTGCTCCCGCCCAGCAGACGAATAACAATGTGTAACTGTTTTTAAATAATTGATTTGGGCTGAAGGGAAACTCCATGAGTTATTAATTCATGTCAAAATTTAAGATGCGCGGCTAATCCACAAATCGGATAAACCGCACGCGGATAATCGAAGGTCTCCTGCACGTAGCCAACCATGTGAATCGGAGGTGCGGGTTGAAGGACATTAAGCTGAACGCACAAAAAGCAGTTCTAAAGAAATGAGTTTTCAATCTAGATGTTTTAAAAGTGCATGGAAGTTCCCCCTCGCCCGCTGATTCCCGCTCTGCTTGGCCTTGTCAATAGTTGGTGCCGCTGCTGGAGAGTTAGAGAGAAGCTGCCCAGCCTCCTCGCTTAAAAGCTCCCCTTGTACGGTGAGTCCTCTACCTATGTCGCTCCCGTTTTACGTCGTTTCACTGTAACGCCACCGACTGAATTGGGGGACGTAATTCGATAAAAAAAAATATGCGTCGATTCACCACGACGTTTTGAAGAATAGAAAGACGCGCTACGCCCAGACGCCCCCCCCCCCTCCAACCCCCCAAGCGGGCGCTCAAGCCTCGGTGTTTACAACATCGCCACACTATACACGGCACAACATTGCCACTCTGTACAACACCGCCGCATTGTGCAACAGCGCCATACTGTGGACCGAACAACGTCGCCATACTGTGCACTGTGCAACATCGGCACGCCGCAACACCGCCACGCAGAACAACACTATAAAATTGCCATACTGTACACTTTGCGACATTGCCACACTGTACATCATCACTGTACCGCGCACTGTACAATATCGCCATACTCCACACTGTACATCATTGCCATTTAGTACACTCCCTGACATTTCCACACTGCACAACATTGGCATTCTGTGATACTTTCATCTCACGCGCATTAATTGTGAGTTTTCACCTGCCAACATTTTTCGCAGAACTACGTGAAAAGGAGTGGTAAACGACCGGCAAGTGACATTGCTGCCTCGTCGTCGAAGAAACCGAGGAACACCATCAGTTTCGAGGTGAAATTGGACGTGCTGAACCGGTTTGATGCTGGAGAGCGCGCCGTGGACATCAGCTCTGAGCTTGGCCTGCCACCCACGAGCGTGAGGACAATCCGTGCCAACGCTCACAAGATAAGGGAGTACGCTCGAAGCGTGACCACGTTAAACGCTGCCAGGATAATCAGGGGCAGGGACAAGGTGAAGGATAACATGGAGAGGTTGTTAAGCCTTTGGATCGAGGATCAAGGACAGAGGAACGTGCCCATGAGTTTGATGATGATACAGGAGAAGGCCAAGTCACTATTTCGGGAATTAAAGAAGGAGCACGGTGAGATTTCAACCATGCCAAACTTTTCCGCGAGCCGTGGTTGGTTTGATCGGTTTAAGCGTCGTTGCAACCTGCATAACCTCAAAATGACCAGTGAGGCCACTGTTGTCGACTTGGGGGCGGCAAAGCGATACCTGGAACAGTTTAAATTAATCGTAGAAGAAGGTGGCTACTCTCCCCAGCAGATTTTCAACGTCGACAAGACCGACTTGCATTGGAAGCGAATGCCTTCCCGCGCGCGCATCTCCGAAGGGGAAAAGGCGGCAGCGGGCTTCGAAGCCGCTAAAGACCGGCTGACCCTCCTGCTCGGCGGCAACGCTTCGGGGGACGTGAAGCTCAAGCCCCTGCTGGTGTACCATTCGGAGCATCCGAGGGCCCTGGCTGGCTACTGCAAGAACAGCCTCCCCGTCATTTGGCGGGCAAACAAAGAGGCCCGGGTGACGACGGCCGTGTTCCAGGATTGGTTCACGTCGTGCTTTTGCCCTTTCGTGAGGGATCACTGTGCCAGAAACAAGCTGGAGAACAAAGCGTTGCTCGTCTTGGACTCTGCGCCCGAGCACCCCGCGAACCTGGACGACCTGGCCGAAAACGTGCGGGTTGTCTTCCTGCCGCCGAACGCGACGTCGCCGCTGCAGCCCGTGGGCCGGGTCGTGACCGCCACGCTCAAGGCGTACTACTTGCGTCGGCTCGTGGGCCAGCTGGCCGCTGAGACGGACGGTGAGGGGAAGCCAACGTTCGGGGAGTTCTGGCGCGGCTACGACATCAGGAAGGCCGTCGATAACGTCGGGGCGGCGTGGCGCGAGGTGACGCCGGCGCACATGAACGGCGCGTGGAGGCAAATCTGGCCCGAGTGTGTCGACGGGTCGACGGGTTTTGCGAAGACGGTGCCGGAAATTCGACGGGAAATCGTCGGGCTAGCCAGGCGAGCCGGGTTTGACGGAGTCGACGAGGGCGACGTTCGGGAGTTGCTCGAGTGGCGCGGCGAGGACCCGTCTCGCGAAGACCTGCTTCAGTTGAAACGACGACGACGACGAGCGGAGGAGGAAGAGGACGAAAGCCTCCGTGCTGCAACGCCGCCCCCTAAGCAGCTGACGGCAAAAAGGCTCTCGGAGGCGTTCGGCCTTTTCGAGGCGGGAATGGACATCCTGACGGAGGATGACCCCAACATGGAGCGAAGCTGCGCACTTAAGTGGGGCTTTGAAAGTCTCGTTCGCTGCTACAAGGAGCTGTACCAGCAGAAGAAGAAGAAGGAGGAGGAGGCGGCGGCGGCCGTCCAGATGTCCCTGCAATCGTTTTTCGGAGAAGGGCGCTCCGGAAAAGACTCCTGATAGCGGCGCAGAAACAACACCAGGAAAGTTCCCAGAGAGGAGCCCCTGCAACGGGCCCTAGAAGGAGGGAGCCCGAGGGAAGAGCCAAGAAGAATCTGAATCAGAATATTTATTTATACTGGAGGAATCCGATGAGCTATGAAGCTCTTTTTTTTTGCACAGACGTCTTAAGAGGACCCAGGGATTTTGTTCGCCCTCGGATGAAAAGGTGGACAGATCCTGCATTTTTCTCCCGAGAACCTCCTTAAAATCCTCCCCTTCACCCCACACCAGGCCACAAGATGCAATCTCCATCGCCGTCTCTGGTGAGTACTCTGCACTCACTCCGATTAGCACTGTTGGCTACGCACGGTGCGAAAGAAGTGCAACATACGGTCGATCTTCCATTATCCAGCGCGCAATTACCCGGCTTCCAACATTATCCGGCGGTACCGTTCCAAAGGCTGTGCCAGTCCGTCGATCGGCACCGTGTGTGTGACGGGAAAAGTGTCTTTGCTTGATTTCAGTGTTAAACATAAACAGTACATTGTACACTACATACAACTTAAGTAATGAAAATACTACATGTATGTGCACCAGAAAATGTACAGTGCGATCCTCCGAAAAGTCACGTGTAATTCGCCGTTCGCATCGGTCCGGCGATCGTCAAAACATATGTTGTTGAAATCAGGGCATAGTAGTCGTAGTACGTACATCACTCCATGATGCAGACTCCTCAAGATTGGAGTGGTAAGTATAGTCCAGTAAATACGGTGACTTTTTACTGTAGGGTATTTATTGCCGTCTATTTGTACGTTTATTTACGCCAATTTCAAATCTCGATTTGAAGCTTTCGTGACTGCAAGGATCCATACTCTTTGGTTCTATTCGGTAAAGTCACGTAGGTAAAAAATAAAACAACAAAAATCACGACGTTTCGGCCACAACACAAGCGGCCTTCATCAGGTGAAGGGACCAGGCTGTCTCCAGCGCTGCGTGACTTTACCGAATAGAACCAAAGAGTAACAATTTCATATCGTTAACACATTTAAAACAAAAAAAATATACATACATCTGAAAACAATGTTACGCAAGAATGTGCAATAATAAGCTTTTTTAAATAATGATGATTTGGTGATTATCCGGCGTTTTTTGAAAATGCAGCGCCGCCTTCGCCTGCTGAAGTCGCCAGATTATCGACGATCTGCCGTGTTATTTATTTTTGTCATGCGACATCTATTTGGGTATCTCATGTTATCTTTTTTAGTACTTGATAGTTTTTTCTTCTGCATAGTTTTGACCAAAAGAAAATTTACCCCACACGAACGCCTCCTAAATTCGTATCATTCCCGTCAATGGTAAACAAAAATACGCTTCGATTTACCCGTCATTTCTCCGTCCCATCGGTGGGTTTTATTTGTTTTATTTACGAGGATGCATCCCCCGAACGTAAATGGGAGGACTTTACCAGGAGACTTCAAAAAAAGACACGGTGGTGTTATTCCAAAGAGCTCTTTTCTGCGTGTTATTTGGCGCGGATCGTCACTGTTGGACTGGCCACACGATGAGAGTTGCACGGCAGCAAACATTCAGACTTTTAACATACCCGGACCCCGGAAGGAACGGCAACTTGGCTTCGCACATCAGCGTGCAGCTCTGTCTGTGGCTGTTCCACTGCGTCCACGTAGTTTAGTGGTCGTTGAATTGAAGGTGGGGGGGGGGGGGGTTAACAGCTGACTGGCACCTGCCCAGAGCCCCCATTTGGCTGCTGGGGTGGCTACATGTGCCATGAGGAGTATAGCTGATTTGAATCAGCCTTCCCTCCATGGCATTGTTCAAATTCACGACAGCGTTACCGTCTGGCACCAGTGAGGAGGTAGGGGGTTGTTTTTGGCGGACGAGCGTGGACTCGCCGTTGACCGGTACCAGCGGTGTCAAGATCGGCCTTGGTGGAGGAGGCTCGTGAAGGACGCCACTGGGCAGTTGGAGGCAGTCGCCCTCCAACAACAAACGGAGGGCGGAGGAGCGACGCTCACAACAACGGGCGGGGCGCCGGGTGGCTAAAACACAGCAAGTTGGTACAGTAGGGGGCACAGGTGGTGCATCTGCCAACCCATGGCTCCTGCTGGGTCTGTCACATGGCCTCCTACCAGCGGGTATTCGACACTTCACGTAGCCTTTAAATGCACATAGCCTGGCACAAGTGCCGTGGTGACATCACCGCCACTTAGTGGCGAATGGCAGTTGTTCTTTTGTGTAGATTCCTTTTGCCTGAACTTTGCCTGATTTTCACTACTTGTGTAGTGATGAGCGTTGCTTAAATAGGTTTATATGATTACGCGTTGCATGCGTTGTCACCTTCTAATTGGAAAGGTGGCATGGACACCCAACGTGCTGAAACATCACTGCTTCACTACTGTTCTCAAATTGGGAAAAAAAGCAAGAGTACGGTAAAGATCCTATGATGTGATTTGCAGGAGTAGGTCATCCTGCATTGGCATTATTCATGCAAACTCCAGGTCATCCTCGCAGCAGTGGCTTTTTAGCTCACCACATCGAACACCGCATCGCGCGGCGCCTTCAGACGCGCTTCCGCGCCGTCTGGAACGCTCTTCCCTCCGATATTAGGAAGCCAATGGGAGCTATGCCGCTTTTCAATGATCATCTAGATTTACAAACTAATTTCCTTAGAGCTGCTTTTTGTGTTTAGTTTGTTGTCCTTCCACCACCCCGCCGCATCTCAGATTAGCACGGTTGGCTACATACCGTGCGAAAGAAGTTCAACGTACTTAGAGCCAATGTGGTATCACCGACTCACCTCGTGTGTTTCTCTGTGTCTATCTGTCTCTGCCTGTCTTCATGTCTCTCTCTGTATTTGTCTCTCTGTCTATGTCTCTATCATTTTAGGACCAGTGTCCCACTCCATGTGCTTCTGTCTCTCTCACCATCTCTGTCGTTGTGTCTTACACTGTCTGTGAAATCTCGATTGGCAAACTAATTTCGGTTGTCTATGTACGACGCAAAAGAAGTTCAGCATATATATGTAATGACAGGGTGCCATCTGTTGACCAGGAGGGATAATCACGAGTATGGGTGCTCTTTATAATAACCGACTAGAAGAGGGGCGTAACTGGGTTCAAGGTTAAAGGTCGGGGTCAGTCGGGAATCTCCGGGAACCTGCTCGAAGGTTCTAGAAGTGGGCGTGGCCGGAGGCGGGGCCTGGCCACGCCGGGAAGTATATAAGGGGGACGTGACCGAAGGTTCGGGGCTGTCGTGGGGTCCAGAGTCTTGGCTGCCACCGCTGTCTTCGCCGTGATCTCTCTCTCTTCAACGTCCGGCCGCGTGGCCGATGCTCTGCACGGCTCCCATCGTCGTCGTCGTCGTCGCTATATTAGTCAGCCAGCTTTAGAGTTAGATGCCGACGATGGGGCTGTGTAGATGGGTCAGCATTGCGTAGCCGTGTGTGTGTGTATATATATGTCGCCCAGTGATGGAGCCTGAAGTGTGAGAATAAATAAGAAGCCCTCTACACGTTGTGTCTCTGAAGTCGCCCCCTACACATACATAAATTATGGTCCGAAATTTCAAACTTAGAAATGTTTTCCTGCAAATGTCTAAATTGGAATGTACATTGCAAACATCACCACCCCCTTCTGCAAAAAAAACTTCTCAGGATCCCCCTGTGAAAGAGTTTATTGAAACTCCCAGAGTCTTTGCCGGGAGAAGAAATGCATCATAATAATTGAAATGAAACAAACTTTAGAAAACAGTTAATTACTATAATATCTTAACGGAAACAGAATGTGCCAATTCGTTACTAGTACGGCACTAACCGGTGTGTTGCAGAGTAAATCCAAAATATGTACAATGTAACGAATTGGCACGTTCTGTTTACATGACAAACCTCACTAATTGACTCTCAGGTGGTGGTGGGTTTAACGACACATATTTACGTGATTTAAATATTGGTCGCAAAAGCCAACGTGTTAAAGGGTCATAACCGTCAGCCCTCATATGTATAGCATTGCTAGTTGTGATAATATAGGTTTATATACAGTGGTACCTCGGTATACGACTGCTTTGGAATACGTCGAATTTGGTACACGTCGTGTTTTGACGAGAAAAAAATGTCTTGGGATACGACGTCTTGCTTGGGATACGACGCGCTTGCTAGAACTTGTTTGGGTCGAGATGAGTCCCCGCGTAGACCCCGTTCACGACTGAAACAAAGCGCCGCTCCTCAGTCTGCCTGTAGTGCACAACCCTTGCTATAACTCTGTGAATTTTCAATTTAACGTGAGATTTTTGCAAATTAATTCAACTCCTCTCAGCAAGGTAAAGTGATGTTACATTTTATTTTCATTTAAATTTATTTAAATGTCTTTATGAATTTATTTTAATTTATGTATGCATTTTAGTAATAAGTAGTGGCTAAATTATTTTATACACCCCCATGAATGTATAATATGCCATATAAATATCATTTCTTATACTCTGGAACGGATTATTTAGTCTCCCTTTATTTCTTATGGTAAAAATTCGTTTTGTAGACGTCATTTTCTGTATAAGTCCTCCTACCTTCGAATTAACGACGTATAACAAGGTACCACTGTACAGTAAAACCTTGGATTGCGAGGAGCATAATTCGTTCTGGAAACGCGTTTGTAATCTAAAGCACTCGTATATCAAAGCACTCGTATATCAGTTGTGATCACGTGACGCACGGCAGACAAAGCGTACACGTACACTACTCGTATTGCAAGACCCTCGCTCGTTTATCAAATTAATATTTATTTAAAAAAATTGCTCGTCTTGCAAAACACTCGCAGACCAAGTTACTCGCAATCCAAGGTTTTACTGTACATGTAAAAAGTTGTGCTCTGGTGAATTTTGCGAAGTTATCTTTTGACCAGCGATACAATAGCACAGCCACCATGCTTACGAGTGTGGTTTAATCTCGGGTGACTTCTACTTAAAGATGATCAGTGAGGTCCAACTGGAATCCACCATCATGTTGTGTACGATTCCATGCCAATGTTATCCACTTTGAATTGACTGAGATTCATTTGTTTGATTACAGAAGTCGGAGCTGATTCTACATATTGAAAAAATATAATTCGCTTGAGCAAGATCGGGAAAATAATGCAAACCTTTTTTTTATTTCTTACCGGTGCCATTTCTGGCGATTGTCGTTACATTTCTTTTCCTGCATCGGTTTGACGGAACCATGAACTTGTTATTGTACAAATAAAGCGGCAGAAGAAGCGAAAGAAATGGAGCTCCCTTGAAAACAAAGAGGGACGAAGCGGAACGCACCACCGGCAAGGTCCCCCTGAACAAGCCTGCAAGCGATGCGGGAAGGCGCTTAGGCCTTTACCGCGTTGTGCACGACAGTCGCTGAAGATGGAGAGGCCGCGAGAGGAGTGTCGGACGGGGTTTGCAACGCGTTCTTCACATTCTGTGTCGCATGGGTGGCGAGAGGCCGCGCGTGCGTTCGAGGGCTTTTGGGCGACAGTCCACATTGGAGTTTACACACTGGATCGCACGCTGGCAAGAGAAGCCCCGTGCGTGCAAGGCATGCGGAAAAGGAGCCGTGCGTTACATAATGGTTCGGAGGCGCACGTTGGGACACACGCGTTGGCGAGAGAAGCCGCCGCTTGTGCCCGAAGGGTTTTTATCAACGTTATGCAGTAGAGTCGATTATCCGCGCTAATAATGGGAGAGGACATCCACGGATAATTAAAAATCGCGGATAATCCAAAAATGTAACTATTGTCCGCGGATCTCTATGCCAAAAACCACTCATCGGTATACGTTTTAAGTGAAGAGAATTTAATTTTTTAATGAACAAAACAAACGTTCATAGTAAAGATTGTATTGATCTTGTTTTATTCCAAAAGTCCATTTCGATTTATAACAGAATACAGTAAAACCTTGGATTGCGAGTAACTTGGTCTGCGAGTGTTTTGCAAGACGAGCAAAAAATTTAAATAAATATTAATTTGATAAACGAGCGAGATGGTCTTGCAATACGAGTAGTGTACGTGTGCACGCTTTGTCTGCCGAGCGTCACGTGATCACGACTGATATACGAGTGCTTTGATGTACGAGTGCTTTGGATTACAAACACGTTTCCGGAACGAATTATGCTCCTCGCAATCCAAGGTTTTACTGTACTAGCGATCGACCGATCGGTGCACGTTCTCAGTGATAATAACACTCAGCCCATTGAGTGGATGGCAGCAGCAGAGCCTCGCCAATCAACGTCAATCAAACTCCGCCCCACTGTTGTAAATATATGGCAACTACTGTACTGTAGAGTTGATCGTGTGGATTTGGGATTAACCGGAGCAACATAATTGTTTCGGTTTAAGCACCACGTGAATTTTAATAAACATTTCCAATAATGTATAACTGTTTATAGATTATTCATTTGGGCTTGAGGGAAAACCCACAAGTTATTTTTTGTCAAAATCTCAGGTGAGCAGTTAATCCGAAAATCTGATAAATATCACGTGGGTAATCGAGAGTCTACTGTACTTTAAAAATGCATTCTGGATCACGTACTGGAACGTGAGTGCATGCATGCATGCAATGAGTGTGAGAAAGGGGTTTTCACAGTTGTAAGTGTAATGACCGAGGCAACAGACCACTTGCCTGACGTACGTGTGCGAAGGGATAGCCAGGAAGTCAATCAAGGCCTCTGATTGGTGCAGGGCGGCCTCAAAGATGAATGGTCAGGCGATGAGATTCAAGGGGATTGGAGGAGAGATTCAAATGTAAAAGGCGGGGAAACGAGGGTTGACTGTAGGGGGCGACGGTTGGCAACCGCTGGAGATGGAGGATTGGCTGAAGCGAGTCGGGTGAGCGAAGCTTCCAGAAAGGCGGCTCGGGGGGGGATATAAAAGGGGACGGCACAAGCGGAGGGGGACGGTTGGAGAGAAAGACGAAGTTCAGGCACCAAGGACGAAGCCCGTGCCTAGATAAAGTGCCGTGTCCGAATGAAGGGTCACTTCACAACTGGTTATGTCTCAAATGAGGTTTAGATCGTGTAAGGAAAAGACGTGTGTTTTATGGGGGGCCGTCCACAAATGACGTCACGCGATTTTGGCCGATTTTTTACCTCCCCCTCTCCTCGTCACACGGCGTCATAATAAGTCAGACCCCCATCAAATATGACGTCACAAAGCTCTGCCCCACCTGCCCCCCCAAAACCATATTTCCATTTTTTAAATAAAACATGCTTCAAATCACTTTAAACTATTGTCATTGTAGTGCTTATTTAATGTGGCGCTGGAAAGCTGAAATTTAGCATAAAATTCACTTGAAAATTTTCAACGTCTAACTAAAACTGCAGATGTTCAGAATATTACATTGAATTTATCTTATAATTATGAAATATTAAAAGTAATTCTAACTATAAAAAATACTTTAAACTTTGTAGTAGAACGAAGCAAAATGGAGAGTACAATTATAACAATCATTCATTCCACAGAATGAAAAGCCCTAGTAGAATCATTAAAATAAGGGTTAATAACAATCATTCAAAAAATGTACAAAATGTATGCTTCTCCATTCTGCCATGGAGAAGCAAAATGCTCCTTCATAAAATAAAAAGGTGACCTTAGTAAATTTTAATAATCAAATAGTTAATAATGAAAATGTATCGAAATTAGTGTTGTTATAACAATTATATTTTATTAATACTCTTTGGTTCTTTTGGTAAAGTCACGTAGGTAGAAAAATAATCGATCACGACGTTTCGATCACAGCACAAGCAATCGTCATCAGGTGGGACAACCACAGCAAGAAGAAACTGCTGAAGTAGGCGAGAGATCTGCCGTGGCACGAGGTTAAAGTCTTAATTAATAACGTTAATAACCGTCTTTGGTTCTTTCGGTAAAGTCACGTAGAATGAGAATAAAAGAATAAATTAATAAAATAACAATAAAATTCTCACGACGTTTCGGCCACAACACAAGTGGCCTTCATCAGGTGAAGGGACGAGACTGTCTCGAGGACAGCGCTGGAGCTTGGCTGTGTTCGCTCCAGCGCTGTCCTCGAGACAGTCTCGTCCCTTCACCTGATGAAGGCCACTTGTGTTGTGGCCGAAACGTCGTGAGAATTTTATTGTGTTATTTTATCTTATTATTTTATTATTTTATTCTCATTCTACGTGACTTTACCGAAAGAACCAAAGAAGATTAATCCTTGCAGTCACGAAAGCTTTAAATCGTAATTTAACGTTAATAACGTTATTAACCAGGTAAAGTCTTAACTGACTGCTTGGACCCGGCGTGCATGCATGATGTTGTGTGGATGCGCCAATGCCGCAACAGCGTGTTGGTAATTACAAGGCCATGGGCTGCACTCCAGGACAAGTTGGAGCGCGCGTGTGTGGTTGGTGCATCACAAAGAGGGCTTCGCGCACCGTTTGCCTCCGGAGAAGCACGGGACGACGCGCATGGAGCGCACGGGCGTGCGATGCCGCACGTGTTGCGATGAGTTCGTCACAAAATAAATACACATTCGAATAATCGATGATCCGCTTTAATATTGTGCTCAAAATCACACGCTGCGATGGCTGTAACATACATGTTCGGATTATAATCGACGGTCCGCTGTAATATTGTGCTTAAAATCACGCGTGTTAATGGCTGCAAAATAAAATGTACATAATTCTGTATATAAATTGTACATTTTGATGTAAAGCTTTCGTGACTGCAGTAATTCATATTCTTAGCTCTTTCGGTAAAGTCACGTTGAAGGGAAACAACAAAATAATAAAATATATATAAAACAATAAAACATTCTCACGTTTCGACCATAACACAAACGGTCGTCATCAGGTGTGTCGGTTTGCATAAACGTCGTGAGAATTTTTATTGTTTTATATATATTTTATTATTTTATTGTTTCCCTTCAACGTGACTTTACCGAAAGAGCTAAGAATATAAATTGTACATCTTTGTTTGTTTGCACAGCCTCTGGGTATGTAGCAAGTCAACTTTACTTTACGTGGGCAGAAAGATTGCCCATGAGAGTGGCAATATTGAAATGACACTGACACACGGAGCACGCGGAGCACGCGTATCGGTGTGACACAGCACCGACTCTGGGCCCGGCTTCTTCTTGTGTCTTGAAAGCTCGTGCCTTCTCCCGAACGTCGCCTCCCCTTGTGCTCTCCCCTTTTATTCCTCTCGAGCTTCCCGTCACTGCCTTTCGACCAGCCAATCCCCGTCCTTCTCTCCTAACGGTTCTCAACCGTCGCCTCCAGGTTGGACTTCCGCTCGCCGCCTTTCCCCGTTTGAACCTTTCTTCCAAGACCTGCAAACCTTGTCCCCCGACCAACCATCCCGGAGGCCTCTTTTCGCCAATAGGAGGCCTTGGCCTACTTCCTGTAAGTCCGTTTCGCTGTGCATTTGCTTTGGGTGAGTGCTTCTTAATTTCGGTCCTTACACTATGCAGAAGTCTGGATGTGCTACTACCCACCGCTGAATTTGAAAAAAAAATTGTGACAGAACAGCCTGGTCAACGGATAAAACCCAATCAACGATAACATGTAATGCTGGTAGTAGAGTTGTGGCCCATCACATTTAAAAATGTTATCCCTCGGCCACAGAACCATTAATCTGCTTGGCAAACACCTGTAGTGACACGAACACACGTTCTTTCTTTACCAAGAGCCTTTGTTGTGGACACCGCTAATTCCTTGGCCCGGGCTTCGGTTCTTGATGCTTGAACTTCGTCTTCTCTCCGACCATCCCCTATCCAATCGTGCTCTCCCCCTTTCACATACCGTGAGCCCCCCCTTTTCTCGAAGGTTCGCTCAACCCCATTTCCCTCGGCCAATCCTCGTCGTTCTCTCCAATGGCTGTCAACCGTTACCCCCGACATTCCACCCTCGTTTCCCCCGATCATTTAACATTGGCATTTCGCAACCAAACAGCTTCAATTCTCTGGCCCTAACCAATCCTCATTGAGGCCTCCCTGCACCAGAGGCCACTAACGCACTTCCTCACTGTCCGTCTGCGGACGTACCCAGTCAGCCAAGTGGTCTATTGTTTCGGTCTTTACAGTAGTGTATAGTGTCGTGTATAGTGTAGCTTATAATAGTGTCGCATATATAGTGCAGTTGTGTATTGTGTTTAGTGTGATGTCCTTCCCCCCGAACCTCCGTTTAGACACGTACGGTGCGAAAGAAGCTCAACATGCATAGTAGTTTTGATTTAAAGCTTTCGTGACTGCAGGGATTCATATTCTTGGTTCTTTCGGTAAAGTCACGTAGAAGGGAAACAATAAATTAATACAAATATAAAACAAAATTCTCACGACGTTTCGACTGCAACACGAGCAATCAATGACACCCACCCACGTTTTCGCTTCACTAACAGCCGTTATTTTGGCGATGCTATTCCTAGGCTCGGGCTTCGATAATTATTGATGCTCGAACTTCGTCTTCTCTCCAACTGTCCCTTGCCCCCCCCCCCCCCCCCCATTGTGCTCTCTCCCTTTTATATCCCTGGAGCCCCCCCTTTTCCCTCGAAGGTTCGCTCACCCCCATTTCCCTCGGCCAATCCTCGTCGTTCTCTCCCAACGGTTGTTGCCCGTTACCCCCCTGACAGTCCACCCTCGTTACCCCCCACCCACCCACCCGGCCTCTCCACCAATCAGTTCAATTCCTCCGGCCCTAACCAATCCTCTCCACCAATCAGTTCCATTCCTCCGGCCCTAACAAATCCTCTCCACCAATCAGTTCCATTCCTCCGGCCCTAACCAATCCTCTCCACCAATCAGTTCCATTCCTCCGGCCCTAACAAATCCTCTCCACTAATCAGTTCAATTCCTCCGGCCCTAACCAATCCTCTCCACCAATCAGTTCAATTCCTCCGGCACTAACCAATCCTCTCCACAAATCAGTTCAATTCCTCTGGTACCCTAACCAATCCTCTCCACCAATCAAGAGGCTTGACATACTTCCTGGCTGTGCGTCGCAACGCGTACCATGTCAGCCAAGTGGTCTGTTGTTTTCGGCCTTTACACATTTGATCCTTATGGCGGTACCCCGGGGTACCGTAGTTCATTACTAATGTAGCCAATGTGATTTAAGAGAGGTAGCCACGAGGATCGATTGCCAACTCCGCATTGATATCATCAACTTCAAATGGTCTTCGATCCCCAATCAATTCTGAAGCACATGTCTAGGAGATGTTAACTACCTCGCCTGGTGTGCAGGAGGTCGTGGGTTCGATCCCCACCCTGACGATGCCTGCTGCTGTATATTTGGAGTTTGCGTGTCTCTCTCTCTCATCATGATCACGGTGGCTAGGAGATGTTAACTACCTCGCCTGGTGTGCAGGAGGTCGTGGGTTCGATCCCAAACCTGACGCCTGCTGGCTGTCGCCTGATGATGCTGGTTGTAGTTACCGGCGAAACGTCGTACTCGAATTGTAAATGTTGTAGTGGGTTTACCCTGCAAAACACCGGTTAGTGCTGTGCTAGTAACGAATTGGCACGGTCTGTTTACGTGACAAACTCTTTACTAATTGGCTGTGTCGGGTGGTGGCGGGTTTAACGACACAACATTTATATTTAACTAAACCAACAAAACCTCTATTATGGATAACATTTCTCGCGAAAGCCCACCACTACTGCTAGTGTAAATTTCGATTTAAAGCTTTCATGACTGCAGGCATTCATCTTCTTGGTTCTTTCGGTAAAGTCACGTAGGAGGGAAAGAATAAAATAATGAAAATAAAACAGAATAAAATAAAATTCTCACGACGTTTCGGCCACAACGCAAGCAGCCGTCCTCAGGTGAAGAACAGAGCTGTCGGAAAGACAGCGCTCCTAATGAACACCGCGCTAAGCTTGGCAGCGTATTTTAAGTTGAGTTGGAGGAGGAGGAGAGCGCCTTGACAAAGGATTTTACATATCAACAGAGGAATTCAGCATATTGATGACATGCAGCTATGGGGTTAGTCACTCTCATTGTGTTTAACTGTACATTTGGATTCTGCGCGTCTCTCTCTCGCCATGGTCGCGTGGATTTTGTCTCCGGATCCTCCGCCGGTTTTCCCCTCCACATTAAGAATGGACATCACCCCCCACGCGTTTAGAGTTATTGGGCTGCTTGCTGCCGCCGCTGCTGCTGCTGCTGTAGATTCCACCACACGATGATGACGATGGTGATAAGCCACTCGATTTGAGCTACCACTTGTGTCGATTTGAGCTACCACTTGTGTCGATTTGAGCTACCACTTGTGTCGATTTGAAGCTTTCGCGACTGCAGAAATCCACACTATTTGGTTCTTTTGGTAAAGTCACATAGGTAGGAATAAAATAAAATAAATCACGACGTTTCGATCGCAACACAAGGGACCGTCATCAGGTGGGGCAACCACAGCAAGAAAATGATGCCGTTGTTCCACCTGATGGAGTTCGCGTGTGCTGCGATCGAAACGTCGTTATTTTTTAAAATGTTATTTCTACCTCCGTGACTTTACCAGTTGTGACTTCTGAAAAGAAGCTCATAGCTCGGTGAGGCTTCACCTGATACAATAATTTGTATATTTGTAAGTGATTGGTTTACCTTGCCAATACACTGCACCAAGGCCGTAGCCATGGAGGCAACATTGGGGGGGACCAAATCTTCCAGTGGGTCTGGGGTTCCCCCCCCCCCCAGAAAAAAAATAATCTAAATTTGAAAACGAATTTCCTGCCTAAAATATTAAAAAAAAATTAACTAACACATAGGATGGACTTAATTTTTTTACAATAATGTCTTATCGTGTTATTTTATTTACATTGCTCTGTTTTTTACTTTTTACCATTTCTTGTTTCATTGTATGTAACGGCAGAGATGAGGGATTCATAAAGTACAACCATAACCACAATCATATAAACAGAAATCTATTTTATAGCGATATATTGGGGGGACATTTTGAGCATATTTGGGGGGGTATCCCCCCCAATATTTATTATAATTACGGCCTTGCACTGCACTCCTATAGTCTTGTTGTTGTTGTGATGCTATGACAGAGTGCCCCCCTAAGTGGACATCTGTGAAAAAAGAGCTTTACAGATCTTCAGATTTCTACCTCCCAGTATCAGTCGCGATTGTGACGAAGGCGGCGGTGTCACTGAAAGATTCGCCCAAAGGCGTCTTGCGCCGCATCTTGTCGCTCGGTGGGGCAGAGGCCCAGAGGCGTCTCGCGCCGCATCTTGTCGCTCGGTGGGGCAGACGCCCAGAGGCGTCTCGCGCCGCATCTTGTCGCTCGGTGGGGCACAGAGGCGTCTCGCGCCGCATCTTGTCGCTCGGTGGGACACGCCCAGAGGCGTCGGGCACTCGGAGAGACACAGAGACACAGAGAGAGACAGAGACACAGAGCGAGACAGAGACACAGAGAGACAGAGACACAGAGCGAGACAGAGACACAGAGAGACAGAGACACAGAGAGACAGAGACACGGAGAGACAGAGACACAGAGAGACAGAGCCACAGAGAGACAGAGACACAGAGAGACGCAGAGAGAGACAGAGAGACAGAGACACAGAGAGACGCAGAGAGAGACAGAGACACAGAGAGACAGAGACACAGAGACACAGAGAGAGAGACACAGAGAGAGACAGAGACACAGAGAGACAGAGACACAGAGACAGACAGAGACAGACACAGAGACAGACACAGAGACAGAAACAGAGACACAGAGAGACACAGAGACACAGAGACAGACACAGAGAGACAGACACAGAGAGACAGAGACACAGACACAGAGACACAAAGAGAGACAGAGACACAAAGAGACACACAGAGACTGAGAGACGACACAGAGGGAGCCAGATATACACAGATACACACAGAGACAGACAGATAGACACAGCTAGAGACACACAGAGAGACAGAGCGAGATACAGAGACACTCAGACACAGAGAGACAGAGAGAGACAGAGACACGGAGGGAGATAGAGACACAGAGAGACACAGGGAGAGACAGAGAGAGATACAGAGATAGAGATAGACTCAGAGAGACAGACAAAAAGCTACAGAGAGCCAGAGTGACAGAGAGACAGTGTGAGATAGACAGTGAGAGACACAAGGAGACAGACACAGAGACACAGAGAGACAGACACTGAGACACAGAGACACAGAGAGACAGAGACGCAGAGAGACAGAGACACACAGAGACAGAGCCACACAGAGACAGAGACACACAGAGACACACAGAGACACAGAGAGAGACAGAGAGAGACAGACACACAGAGACACACAGAGACACAGAGAGACACAGACAGAGAGACAAAGAGACAGAGACACAGAGAGACACAGAGACAGACAGAGAGACACAGAGAGAGAGAGACAGAGACAGACAGAGAGACAGAGAGACAGAGAGACAGACAGAGAGACAGACAGAGAGACACAGAGACAAACACAGACACACAGAGACACACAGTGAGACACAGACACAGAGAGACAGACACAGAGAGACAGACACAGAGAGACACAGAGAGACAGACACAGAGAGACAGAGACACAGATAGAGACACAGATAGAGACAGAGAGGGAGACAGACAGAGACAGACAGAGACAGACAGAGAGACACAGAGAGAGACACACATAGAGAGACACATAGAGAGACACAGAGAGACACAGAGAGAGACAGAGACACAGAGAGACAGACAGAGAGACACAGAGACAAACACAGACACACAGAGACAGACAGAGAGACACACAGAGACACAGAGAGACAGACAGAGAGACACAGACAGACAGAGAGACACAGAGAGAGACACAGAGACAGAGAGACAGACAGAGACAGACAGACAGAGAGACACAGAGACACACAGAGACACAGAGAGACAGACAGAGAGACACAGACAGACAGAGACACACAGAGACACAGAGACAGACACACAGAGAGACACACAGAGACACAGAGAGACAGACAGAGAGACACAGACAGACAGAGACACACAGAGACAGACAGACAGACAGAGTGACAAACAGAGACACACACACAAAGAGACAGAGAGAGAGAGAGACACAGAGAGACAGACAGAGAGACACAGAGACACAGAGAGACAGACACAGAGACACAAGCGAGGTAAGTTGGTGCAGTGACGGTGGCTGCTACTGTACATTTAACTTCTTTTGCACCGTACGTAGATCGACAAACTCTTTCCTTTAGAGCTGCTTGTCGTTGTTGTGTTAGTTTGTCGTTGTTAGTTTGTTGTTGTTGTATTAGTTTGTTGTTGTTGTTGTGTTAGTTTGTTGTCTTTCCCCTGGACCTCCGATTAGCGCGGTTGGCTACGTATGGTGCGAAAGAAGTTCAACATACTACACTATACTATACACTACACTATAATATACACTACAATATACACTATACACTACACTATACAACTACTATACACTACACTATACACTACAATACACACCACTACACTATACACTACACTATAATACACACTACACTATACACACTACACTATACACTACAATACATACTACACTATACACTACACTATACACTACTATACACTACACTTTACACTACAATACAACTGCACTATACACTACAATACACACTGCACTATATACTACAATACACACTACACTATAAACTACTATACACTACACTTTACACTACAATACAACTGCACTATACACTACAATACACACTACACTATACACTACTCGATACACTATACACACGAAACTGTACACTACACTAGACAGTACAATACACATTACACTATACACTACTATACACACTATACACTACAATACACACTACACTTTACAGTGAGGGAAAAAGTATTTGATCCCCTGCTGATTTTGTACGTTTGCCCACTGACAAATAAATGATCAGACTATAATTTTAATGGTAGGTTTATTTGAACAGTGATAGACAGAATAACAACAAAAAGATTCAGAAAAACGCATGTCAAAAATGTTATAAATTGATTTGTATTTTAATGAGGGAAATAAGTATTTGACCCCTCTGCAAAACATGACTTAGTACTTGGTGGCAAAACCCGTGTTGGCAATCACAGAGGTCAGACGTTTATTGTAGTTGGCCACCAGGTTTGCACACATCTCAGGAGGGATTTTGTTCTACTCCTCTTTGCAGATCTTCTCCAAGTCATTAAGGTTTCGAGGCTGACGTTTGGCAACTCGAACCTTCAGCTCCCTCCACAGATTTTCTATGGGATTAAGGTCTGGAGACTGGCTAGGCCACTCCAGGACCTTAATGTGCTTCTTCTTGAGCCACTCATTTGTTGCCTTGGCCGTGTGTTTTGGGTCATTGTCATGCTGGAATACCCATCCACGACCCATTTTCAATGCCCTGGCCGAGGGAAGGAGGTTCTCACCCAAGATTTGATGGTACATGGCCCCGTCCATCGTCCCTTTGATGCGGTGAAGTTGTCCTGTTCCCTTAGCAGAAAAACACCCCCAAAGCATAATGTTTCCACCTCGATATTTGATGGTGGGGATGGTGTTCTTGGGGTCATAGGCAGCATTCCTCCTCCTCCAAACACGGCGAGTTGAGTTGATGCCAAAGAGCTCCATTTTGGTCTCATCTGACCACAACACTTTCACCCAGTTGTCCTCTGAATCATTCAGATGTTCATTGGCAAACTTCAGACGGGCAAGTATATGTGCTTTCTTGAGCAAGGGGAGCTTGCGGGCGCTGCAGGATTTCAGTCCTTCACGGCGTAGTGTGTTACCAATTGTTTTCTTGGTGACTATGGTCCCAGCTGCCTTGAGATCATTGCCAAGATCCTCCCGTGTAGTTCTGGGCTGATTCCTCACCGTTCTCATGATCATTGCAACTCCACGAGGTGAGATCTTGCATGGAGCCCCAGGCCGAGGGAGATTGACAGTTCTGTTGTGTTTCTTCCATTTGCGAATAATCGCACCAACTGTTGTCACCTTCTCACCAAGCTGCTTGGCAATGGTCTTGTAGCCCATTCCAGCCTTGTGTAGGTCTACAATCTTGTCCCTGACATCCTTGGAGCGCTCTTTGGTCTTGGCCATGGTGGAGAGTTTGGAATCCGATTGATTGCTTCTGTGGACAGGTGCCTTTTATACAGGTAACAAGCTGAGATTAGGAGCACTCCCTTTAAGAGTTTGCTCCTAATCTCAGCTCGTTACCTGTATAAAAGACACCTGGGAGCCAGAAATCTTTCTGATTGAGAGGGGGTCAAATACTTATTTCTCTCATTAAAATGCAAATCAATTTATAACATTTTTGACATGCGTTCTGGATTTTTTTATTGTTATTCTGTCTCTCACTGTTCAAATAAACCTACCATTAAAATTGTAGACTGATAATTTATTTGTCAATGGGCAAACGTACAAAATCAGCAGGGGATCAGATACTTTTTTCCCTCACTGTACAATATTCTATACACTATACACGACTATACACACTACACTATACACTACTTTATACACTACTATACACACTACACTATACACTACAATACACACTACACTATACACACTACGCTTCCCACACTACATTATACACTACTATACACACTTCACTATACACTACTCTATACACTATACACTACTCTATACACTATACACACTACCATACACACGACATTATCCACTACACTATACACTACTATACACTACACCACTATACTAAATTGAAAAGTAATTTATTTACGGCGGCTTCTTGTTGTTGCCGTTGTGTTAGTTTGTGTTGTCCTTCCCCCGCCTCTTCGATTAGCGCGGTTGGCTACGTACGGTGCGAAAAAGAAGCTCAACTTCGTGCACGCGGCACATCAACAACAACAACGTCGACTTTCTTTCTCAACGTTAGATGGAGTCGCGCTTTCATTTCCCATTCATCAAACAAGAGCGTGAAGAAGACCCCAGTGCTGGGACGTGGTTGGACCCGGCGATGGGACGTGAAGACGCTCGCGCCGGTGAGATCCCTCGAAAACATCTCCCAAGGACATCTCCCGACAGCCGCATTCGAAATCGCCGTCCGTACGGCGGAAGTTCTTGTTTCGTTTTTGGTGCGGCGGGGGGAGTTCATCGGCAAACGTTTCAACACGTTGGGGGGCTTAGATCGCTGTGAGTGTAAATGTGCCGTAGAACCTCCAACCACCCGGCAGGTTGGGTCTCGGACAGTCAACCCCGCTGGTTTTCCGCGTTGTCGATCTCGAACGTTCGGCACCTCGATGTCGTCCACCTCCGGTCGTCGATCAGTCCCCGAGTGAGCGCCCCGACCGCTTGGCCTCGCTCCCCCTGATGTACTCGCCCCGCGCCTACCGGACAGTGGGCCCCCCAGTGAATTGTCACGCGTGTGCTGACGGTGCCTTCCGGCCACCCGTTTTCAACCATCTCAGCTCGCCCTTCCGGAAAATTTCTCTTGCACGCAGCCCCCGACGCAAGGATGTCCAACATCCGTGGCGAGAGTGAGCGAGACAGTGGACAGCTTCGGGAGGGGCGGGCTCGTGAATATCTCGCCAACGTCGGCGGGTTTGTTGTTGCCATTGTCGTCGTTGTCGTCCACTGGAGCATCCATTTTAGCGTGCCCCCAACAAATTCTTTGGGTCTTTCGGTAAAGCCATGTAGAAATAGGTTTAAAGAAAATAACAAAAAATAACAAAGAAACTACGACGTTTCGATCGCAACGCAAGCGTTCGTCATCAGGAACGATGTTATTTTCTTTGAACCTATCTATGTCACTTTACCGAAAGACCCAAAGAATATGAATTCCTGCAGTCACGAAGGCTTTGAGTCAAGATTTGCCCCAAACAAGTTTGTATTGCCAAATGTCAATGCAATAAAACGTTTTTAAATCTCAGTGGTGAATTAAGCTAAATAAGCTCGTGCAGAGAAAAAAAATGTACGGGGATGTTTTATAGCGCGCCAACTGTGTGCGTGCGTGTGTGTCGGGTGGTGTTGGATTTCACGTCGCGTTTATATTTACGCGATCTAACCCCACAGCCAAACAACCTTTATTACGAATCGTCTGTTAGAGTTGATTGTTAATGGATGTGTGTTGGAGCAGTCACGAAGCAAGAAGACGAAGGGAGTCTGGGCACCGAGAGGCTGAGGATTGTGGTGAAAACTGAAGTGGAGCAAGACGGTAAGAGGCCTGCCTACGCATGAAGTTACCCCGCGTCAAACTCGCGCAATAAATCAGGAATTCTAAGAGCATGAGGACAAACACGTCCTTAGCAGGCCAGCTTGGCAGTCTGATTATTGTCTACTGATTGTTGTGTTCAGTTTGTTGTCCTTCCCCCGCACGTCCGATCGGCACGGTTGGCTAAGTACGGTGTGAAATAAGCTGAACATGCATACAATTTACTTGCCATAAAAGACAGTGGTGCATTGTCTGAATCGCAGCTCCAGATCCGAACCGTTTTAAAGTGGAAGAATCCAGTGGCTGGCCAGAGGAGACCCGGAATTCCCTCGAATGTTTGGTCACTGCAGACCAGAACTTCATTGAGGTGGAGTTGTCAGAAGAGGACTTTGGTGGAGGTGAGTCCCAGATCACCACACCTCTCTTCCCGTCCAGCTCCTTTACGAAGGTCTGATGGGTCAATTAGTCGGTGCCATGGTGGCTAGGAGGTGTTGACTACCTCCCCTGGTATACAGGTCGTGGGTTCGATCCCGACCCTGACGATGCCTGCTGCTGTATATTTGGAGCTTGCGTGTCATCATCACGGTGGCTAGGAGATGTTAACTACCTCGCCTGGTGTACAGCTGCTGTATATTTGGAGCTTGCGTGTCGTCATCACGGTGGCTAGGAGATGTTAACTACCTCGCCTGGTGTACAGGAGGTCGTGGGTTCGATCCCGACCCTGACGCCAATTCTTTACTAGTACAGCACACCGGTGTGTTGGAGAGTAAACCCACAACATTTACATTTAGAAAAAAATTGGCATGCTTTGTTTACGTGACAAACCTTACCAATTGGCTGTGTCGGGTGTTGGCGGGTTTAACGACACATTTTGATTTCCACAATCTAACACAAAAAACTCTCATGGATATTGGTCGCGAAAGCTTACGTGTCAAACATATCCAAATGTTATAAACTATCCCAGAAACAACTTCTATTTTCATCGCCAAAACACTGATCATGTTCCAACACCCATTATGTCTATTGATTCCAGTTGGATTGATCAAAATAAACAAGTTATTAACACTCGTAATAATAACAAAGTAACTCGCCACAAAGCGCAATGCTATCTTATTATTAGATTTCCCGCGCCAAAGCGGAAAACTCATTCTAATACAACTGAAAAAACAAGTGAACATCTTGGGCCTGCAATGGCGATCAGAAAAACGCTCCACGTCACAAAACCGCTTCTCAATTCCTCTGTTCATGGGATTGACATTCAAGTAATATAAATTTGACGCTTATATATTATTGGAGCTAATGTAACGCGCAGCTTACCAGCGCCGAATCCGCCCAAATCTAAATTGCGGGGAATGCTCGGGATCCAATCCCTGATCACCGTCGCATTCACTTAAACATTTATATATATTAAAAAAAAAACACACCTGGCTACCCATAGCTCTGCAAATAGTGTCCTAGTTTCCCATGTGCTACAGAGTGCACAACTATACGTGTGAGCAATCACGGGTGAGCTCACACCGGATACACTAACATACTCTGGCACCCGTCGTTTTATCTTTCTTGCATCGGTTAGTCAAACTATGAATCTGCGTGTTTCTTCTCAAACGCGCAGATGATGAAGCAAAAGAAACGGGACTGCTGTGCGAGGAGTGCGGGAAGGGCAGACGCTTCAACGCAAAGACAGACGAAGCAGCGGAACGCACCACCACCACCACCAGCACCACCAGCACCACCAGAACCACCAGCACCACCACCACCAGCACCACCAGCACCACCAGCAACAAGACTCCGCGAGCCTGCAAGCGGTGCGGGAAGGCCCTTGGAATCTCCGCGTCGCGCGCGACGGCCGCCGGCGACAGGAAGAAGCCGCACGCGTGCGCGGAGTGTGGGAAGGCGTTCGCGACGCGCTCCTATTTAAAAGCGCACTCCGTTTCGCACACCGGCGAGAAGCCGCACGTGTGCAAGGAGTGCGGCAAGGGCTTCGTGCGTCTTTTCGATTTGGAGAGGCACGCGATAACGCACACCCTTGAGAAGCCGCACGTGTGCGAGGAGTGCGGCAGGGGCTTCGCGCAACGTGCCAAATTGGAGCTGCACGCGAGGTCGCACACCGGCGAGAAGCCTCACGTTTGCACGGAGTGCGGGAAGGGCTTCGCGATACGTTACAGCTTAGAGGCGCACATCCGGTCGCACACGGGCGAGAAGCCGCACGCGTGCGCGGAGTGCGGCAAGGGCTTCGCGCAGCGTTCCGATTTGAAGGCGCACGCGAGGACCCACACGGGCGAGAAGCCGCACGCGTGCGCGGAGTGCGGCAAGGGCTTCGGGCTCCGCTCCACGTTGAAGGTGCACGCGAGGACGCACACGGGCGAGAGGCCGCACGCGTGCGCGGAGTGCGGCAGGGGCTTCGCGCAGCGGTCCACCTTGGAGGCGCACGTCAGGACGCACACGGGCGAGAAGCCGCACGCTTGCGAGGAGTGCGGCAGGGGCTTCGCCCAGCGTTCCGATTTGAAGGCGCACGTCAGGACCCACACGGGCGAGAGGCCGCACGCGTGCAAAGAGTGCGGCAAGGGCTTCGCGCAGCGTTCCCAATTGGAGGCGCACGCGAGGACGCACACGGGCGAGAGGCCGCACGTGTGCGAGGAGTGCGGCAAGGGCTTCGCGCTGCGGTCCACGCTCAGGCTGCACGTGAGGACGCACACGGGCGAGAGGCCGCACGTGTGCCAGGAGTGCGGCAGGGGCTTTGCCCAGCGCTACACCTTGAAGACCCACTACAGGACGCACAGTGGAGAGTGGCCTCACGCGTGCAACGGGTGCGGGAAGGGCTTCGCGCAACGCTCTGACTTGGAGAAACACAAGAACACGCTGGTGAGAAGCCGCATGTGTGCGGGGAGTGTGGGAAGGGGTTTTCTCAGCGCTCAAAACGTAGGGAAATCGTAGGAGCACGCTGGCAGGATGCCGCACGTGTGTAAGGGGTGTGGGAAAAGTTTTTTTTTTTTTTACAATGTTCATAACAATTAATAGATCCACATCCTTTGCAAATTGGATGCAATGGTCGATCAAAAAATCAGGAGGTGCGGGACCAGAGTTCAAAGTTCTTCATGCGTCAGTGTTCTGTCCTCGTGCAGTGCGACTATACAGACGGTTAATCACCGTCCCAACAATGTGCGTTCAAGACAAAAATTACCTTCTGCACTTCCTTGTATTCATTGAAACAACCGTTGAAAAGTTACATTCGAATCGGCAAATACATCCAGTATGAGTCGACAACGGTGCGAAACTGAAAGAAAGGAACTTCAATGCAGCGTTCTTTACGCGTGTAGATTGACACAACAATCCCACAATGTGCAATGTATACGTAGGCGGTGTGAGCTCGCCTGTAATTAATCACGCGTATCGTTGTGCACCTTGCTAATTTGCTACGGAGAGCCAGGTGCAGTTTTTAAAACGAATAATATAAGAAGGCAATGATGAGCAGAGATAGGACCCCGAGCATCACGTGCCCAGCAGAGTTCTGAGCGATTGAGCTGCGGTGTTGTGACGTGGAAGGTGATAGGCGGTGCCATGGGGGGGGAACCAATTTCGATTGGCTGTTCCCCTTATGGCGTTTATAGCCACCACAATGGCCAGTGGGGGCTCTGGGTGGGTGCAAGGAGCTAGTAACCCCCCCCCCCCCCACCTTCAATTTAATTACCATTATACTACGTGGAAAAAAAAATCTAAGCTTGTGCCAGAGGCTCTGGGGGGGGGGGGGGGGGGGAATAGGCATCTATGATATCTTCTGGACATTCCTCCAGAAATGGCAAAAAGCTACTGCGAGTGGCCACGTGGAATGTTCAAATTCTCACTGCGGAGGAGAGACTGAAACTCCTCTCTCGGGAGCTGAAACGGTACCGCCTGGATCTCTGGAATTTAGGAGGTCCAGTAGACCGGCTCTAGTTCCAGTCACCATGAGGGGTGGACAGTCCTCCACTCGGGGCAAGAGACCGCTAAACAACAGGGAGTGACTCTTCTTCTGAACAAAATAATGAACGGGGTGTGAGAGCGTTGCGTTAAGGTGTGGGAAGCTGTAGGCCCCAGGCTACTGTGGGCTTGCCTCCCCATCAACAGGAGGCAAGGAGTGGTGGTGGTTGCTTACACCCCACCGAAGTTAAATATCAGTGGAGGGAGTGAGGTGCCTTCTATGACCTCCTGTCACAGGTGCTAGCTAAAGTGGCCCCTCGGGACAGAGTCATCCTGTTGGGTGATTTTAATGCCCGAGTTGGTCGTGATGCTGGCACCTGGTCTGGAGTGATTGGAAGGCATGGGCCAGATCAGCTTGATAACAATGGTAGATTGCTAGACTTCTGTGCAACCCATGAGCTTATAATTACCAACACGCTGTTCCGGCATCGGCGCATCCACGCAACATCATGGATGTGTTGCACACTCGGAATGAAGGACATGGGCAAGTGCTCCAAATCGAGGGCAAGCACATTTATTGTGGTTAATCTGTAATTTTGTGAAGAACAGCACCGTCACTCTGTAAAATGCACCAACACGTGTGTCACACAGCATTTCTTCCGAGTCGCCATTAACCATGTCGCGGGTTTACAAGCGCGGTTAATCATTCACAGTTTTCTCTTACACCCAACTCTACTACTGATAAACGATCTTTGTCTTTGACAATCACCTTTGCACATCTCTATTCGAATATTACTTTAATCCTAAGCTGTATGTCTATCTATACCATCCACTTATCTCGGTGTCTTACACCCATTATATGTACTGTATGTGTACAGTATACGTACTATATATCACCTTTGTACAGCTTACTATTTACATGTGTTCTATTCTCAATAGCATTGCAAGTAGTCATACTCTGGGTACATGGGCATGGTTATAGACTAAACAGTATTAGAGTTAAATAATTACAATGACAGTAGGTAATTACAGTGCATCAGCCCTTTACAATGCACAGTGCTAAAACCCCTCTAATTGCATATATCACAAACGAACAATTCAAAGCCAAGCTTAACGTCTAGAACAAGTCTAGAACAAGTCTGGAACAAGTCTGGAACAAGTCTAGAACATTTATATAACGATAAAAAAACAACCTTTGGGTCCTTTACCTGTAAAATGCACCAACACGTGTGTCACACACAGCAGCATTTCTTCCGAGTTGCCATTAACCATGTGGCGGGTTTACAAGCGCGGTTAATCATTAACCCTGCCAGGCACCTACAGGCCCAACTCAGTCATCACATGCTGCTGTACACACACGCACTAATGGACCGCACAGCACATCAGGACGTTCATAGAACCACACTTTTACTCCCTTGCTGCACAAGGATATAATTAAAAGAGTGGTCCCTTCCTAATGTGCCACAGATGCATGCCGGGTCCAAGCAAGAACATCTGCCAGACTATATAGTGATGGAACAGCAGATGCAGGCCCATGTCCTTGACATCATGGCCTACCATGGAGCTGATTTGCCCACTAACCATTGGCTTGTCATCTGTAAGATGCACCTGCCATGATTCCACTCCGGTGGTGGGTGTCCATCTTGGACCCCATTCAAACCCACAGTGGCCTGGCCTCAGCTAGCTGATGAAAGTTGCAAGTAAGAATTTAATCATCGCATGAACCTGGGGTTGGCATCATCACCCCCTCCTGATGTCGAGGGTAAATAGGCAAGATTTAGGACTGTGGCTCATGCAGCTGTAATGGCTGCTTTGGATACACGGTCCAAACCTGCCAAGAGACCCTGGCTGACAGAGGAGGCTGAGAAAAAGCAACAGGCCCATCCCCACCTGCAGCATTCCACATCCGAGAATGAGGAGGCTTACTGCAGCCTTCGCTCGGAGGTTCGGAGAGTCGTACGGCGCTGCAAGGATGAGTAGTGGTCATGGGTTGCTGAGGAGATGGAGTCTGCCTCAGCAGCTCACGATTACAAATCACTTTAATTTCATAAAAAAAGTAACTTGCAGTGCCACACCTATCACCATTCTAAGGGGAAAGAATGGTGATGTGATCTCTAAACCCCAGGAACAAGTTTGAAGATTTGCTGGGCATTTCTGTGAGGCTTTCGAGGGGAAATCCCTCAGCTCAGAAAACAATGAGGGAAAGTGGGGATAACCCTGCTGAGGCTGTGGTACCTCACATTGGAAGTAGTCACCCTCTGTGAGTGGCTGGCTGAACTGCCATCTGTTGAGGAAGTATGGTAGGCGATCCAGGTTTGAGACCAAGAAAAGTGCTGGGCAGAGATGAAGAGATGATCTCCCAAGCGAACTGCTGAGGGTGGGTGGTTTTTCTGTGCAGACTACCCTATACAACATAATAATAGTCTGGTCCGCTGATCGGATTTCGTAGGATTGTAAGGATGCCCTGGTGGTCCCCCTCCTTTAAGAGGGTCCCCCTCTTTAAGAAGGGGGACCGCACAGACTGTAACAACTACAGGGGCATCTCCCTCCTCAGCATGCCGGGAAAGTTCCTTGGCAAGTATTATTCAACATCGCCTTGCCAGGCATGCTGAGGAGAGGCTTGCGGAACCCCAGTGTGGTTTCAGGCCAGAGCAGTTCTCCACAGATGCCATATTTTCTATCTGTATGCTCCACTAGAGGTGTAGGGAATTCAAACAGGACCTACACCTCGTCAAGGCCTATGATACCATTAATAGTCCTGAGCTATGGGTTGTTCTTTGTGCTTTCTGAGTCCCTGACTCTGCTCACAATCAAGGACATTCATGATGGTGGGTGGGCCCGGGTAAAGCTATGTGGCCGGGAGTACGAGCCTTTCCCTATTCACCTTGGGGTGTGGCACGGATGTCCTCTGGCACCTACATTATTTAACATATTTTTCGATCACGTAGTTCAAGAAGCTTTCCATGGCTGTACCGGATGAATTTTCATTTGGTACAGATGCAATGGGAGGCTGATCGATGCTTGGGTGCAGTGTAGGGATGGCTCCCTATTGGTGAACCATGTTATGTATGCTGATAATTATAATCTGGTGTTTGCTGCTCACTCTCTGAAGGAGTTGGAGGCGCTGCTGCTGAACCTGTTTAACATCAGCCCCTCCAAAACCCTGCCTGGGTATTTTGAGTGGAGAGGTTTCCATACCTGGGTAGTGTGCTTATGACTAGCTCTGGTTTGACAGCAGAGGTCTCGCGTTGAATCAGTCAAGCAGTATATTTTCATCCGCTGTGTAATGCTGTGTGGAAGCTACCTGGTCTGTTGCTCCACATGAAGCTTCGGGTCTTCTCGGCCACAGTCATGCCCTCTCTTCCTTTTGTTTGCAAAACGTGGACCCCCCAAATGGAACATCTTCGCTTGTTAGAAACATTCAGGCTTTCATGCTTACGATCCATCCTGGATTTAACCAGGCTGGATTGTGTGAGGAGCTTAGAAATCCTCTAAAGATCTGGGCACAGTCCTATCGGTGAGCTGCTCTGGCAGGCAAGGCTGCCATGGCTGGGTCATGTAACCCGCATCCCCAGCCACCGCATGCCCGAACAGCTTTTGTTAAGCTAGATAGAGGGGACTAAACGGACGCGGCTTGAAAAGAGATGGAATGATGTGGTACGAGAGGATTCGGAGCTGAGTGGACTTGCCAATAACTGGTACCAGCGGTGTCAAGATCGGCCTATGTGGAGGAGGCTCCTGAAGGATGCTCCTGGGCAGTTGGAGGCAGTCGCCCTCCAGCAGCAACGGAGGGCAGAAGAGTGATGCTCACAACAACGAGCGGAGCGCCGGGCGGCTAAAACGCAGTACATTGGCATAGTAGGGGGCACAGGTGGTGTATCGGCCAGTCATCTCAGTCAACCCATGGCATCTGCTGGGTCTGTTCCGTGACCTCCTGCCAGCGGGCATTCGAAACTTAACGTGGCATTAACGTGCCACTTGGTAGCTAATGGCGGTTGTTGTTGTGTCTGGTCATCATTGCAGGCACGCAAATGCACTTGGGAAAAATTGTCTCGGCCTCGCTGTGCGCTGCGTTGCACCACTATCCGAGTAGATAACCTCGTATTCAATAAACCTTCAGAGCCAGCGTGAACATCCGACTCCAAACGTATTTAATGAATTGAACACAGCACAAATACAGCATCTGTTAATACTTGGAAATATCAATACAATGAATGGACACTACAGCATCATAACATTATCTTAGATAACATGAATCTCAACAATAGATCATGGATGGACCAGGCACCTACATTAGTACTGAATAGCTATACAAGAAAATAAGCTACTGTGTTAAGGGCACATCGTGTGATCACCATGCTGCAGCCTAAATGTACAGCACTACACATAACACTGAACTGTGGATGAGATATTTCGTCATCCTTGCTCTAAAGATCGCAATAAGGTTACATGGTTACAAGTCTGACTCGACTTATTCAATTACAAGTAACATTCATAATAAGGCAAGTGGCAGGCTTCGTTGTTAACTAGGCCTCATTTATCATAACAATTTAACGGTATTACAAAGGCATTTACAGCATTATAACGGTAATAAAGTCCCACAATGGACAGTTACAGCTGTACTCTTTGGTTCTATTCGGTAAAGTCACGTAGGTAAAAAACAAAACAACAAAAAATCACGACGTTTCGGCCACAACACAAGTGGCCTTCATCAGGTGAAGGGACAAACTGTCCAGAGGACAGCGTTGGAGTGAAGAAAGCCAAGCGCAGGTCGCCTCCTTTAAGCTGTGAGGGGGTAAACAGAAAACGCCTTGACAAAGGAATAAGCATAAAATGTACTATTGTGAAAGCTTGGACATTACTCCACCGTGAGAGTTTGGAATGCCACTACTTGAATAAATATACGGTACTAGAGTATGGGTCCTTGCAGTCACGAAAGCTTCAAATCTAGTTACAGCTGTCTTCACGGAGACGTTATTTGTGCCACCATTTTGTACTCTGTGCAATGACTGGCACCCTGCCGCGTGGCTTAGAGGTCACGTGATCAAACTCAAACTCCAAACAGGAAATTCCTATTCTTGGTTCTTTCGGTAAAGTCACCACGTAGAAGGGAAACAGTAAAATAATACAAATATAAAACAATAAAATTCCCATGACGTTTCGACCGCAACACGAGCAGTCATCGTCAGGTGTGAAAACCACGGCAAGGAAATTCCTGTGTACACACCACCTCCACGCCTGCCATGAGGCAGAACAAGAACACTTTTGAAATACACCGTTGTTGCCGTTCCGCAAGCCTCTGTTGTGCTCAGCTGTTGTGCAGTCGCCCCCACTTCTCCGGAGGACAGAACACAAAGCGGAGTGTATATACTCCGAGGTTTGTTGTTGTCTATTTAGCCCACTGTCCCAACCTTGTTCGGATCCGCGGGAGGAGAGCGGCAGGGTGGTCCGGCTACATATACAACTTTACAACTAAGCCGCACAATGACTTTAGTAGTTCATATTCTTAGCTCTTTCGGTAAAGTCACGTTGAAGGGAAACAATAACCGTTTGTGTTATGGTCGAAAAGTCGTGAGAATTTTTATTGTTTTATATATATTTTATTATTTTATTGTTTCCCTTCAACGTGACTTTACCGAAAGAGCTAAAAATATAATTTACAATACTTTACTAAACTCGTAAATCACCAGTGTATCTGTACAACACGGCAAACTTTTCGACAATTAAGACTCCTGATATTGCAGCGAATGCTAACCGAGGCCTCTTGTTGTCCCCATCTTCAACACGGGTGCCAGTGCAAAGACTTGTGTCAGTAAGTCTCGAGGTGAAGACAGGGTGTCGGCGAGGCTGGCTGCAAAGAGAAGGCGCCACCAGCAAGTCTGGGGGATCTTGGTTGGGGAAATTCCCCCGGATAATCCACGGGGATAAAAGCAGGACGAGAAGGGATGTTCGGGGCCGGTGGAGAGGGATTCGGGCCGTCGTAGCTATCTTCACGTCGTAGCTGTCTGACTCGGTCGTACGATCTCCACGTCGGCATTATCCCATGACGACGTGGTCCTAAGCCACGTCACGTGCAATAAAATAAACCTCAAGTTCGAGTCATAGTTTAGTTCATAGTTCCATTTATTAGGTATAGCCCTGTGAGCCATTTGGCTCTTGAATCGGGTGCAACCGCAACAAACAAAAAAACATCAACAAGAAAAACATCTTAAAGTGACTTTGTGTGACTGTGAAACAGAAAATCCAGGAAAAAAACATCAAAATATTCCTGAAATAGCACCGTACACCAACGCTGTGTGCAAAAATCCCAGTGGGATGCAAGTCAAACAACAAGACAACTAAGAGTCCGGAGCCATTACACAAGTAGTCCTGCACACGGTGACGTTGTCAATCACCGAAATCCTGTCTTGTTAGAGGCGTCTTGTGCTGGATCTTGTCGTTTGCAGTGTTGAGTCTTGTTAAAGTCTTGTGCTGGATCTTGTCGTTTGCAGTGTTGGGTCTTGTTAGAGGCGTCTTGTGCTGGATCTTGGCGTTTGCAGTGTTGGGTCTTGTTAGAGGCGTCTTGTGTTGGATCTTGGCGTTTGCAGTGTTGGGTCTTGTTAGAGGCGTCTTGTGCTGGATCTTGTCGTTTTATGGGCAGACAGCGGTGGAAGAGAGAGACACACACATAGAGACACACGGAGAGACAGAGAGAGAAAGACAGAGAGAGACACACACACATAGAGACACACAGAGACACACATAGAGACACACGGAGAGAGAGAAAGACAGAGACACAGAGAGACAGAGACACAGAGACACAGAGAGACACACAGACACAGAGAGACAGACACAGAGAGACAGAGACCTGAAGAGAGAGAGAGAGAGCGAGAGACAGACACGGAGAGACACACGGGGAGAAAGAGACACAGAGACACACAGAGAGACAGACACAGATAGAGACACACGGAGAGACAGAGACAGACACATAGAGACACGGAGACAGAGAGAGACACATAGAGACACAGAGAGACACATAGAGACACATAGAGACACGGAGACAGAGAGACAGAGAGAGAGACAGAAGTTATTCACAGTCAACACATTTCGCGTCGATTGTCTCACGTGCGAGATGGCCTCGTCCTTTGATCTCCCGTTCGCCAAACGAAAGGAGGAGGAGGATGCTGAGGATCAGCAGCAGCATCATCAGCATCATCATCAGCAGTATCATCATCAGCAGCATCATCAGCACCAGCATCATCATCGTACCGGGTTCGGGGCGCGCTCTGACTTGGCCGTGAAACGCGAAGATGCTGACACCGCTGGTGAAGATCACTTTGAGAACACAAAACAATGAGCACACAGCACCATCATCATCACCATCATCATCACCATCATCACCACCATCATCATCACCATCATCATCATCTCCACTACCACCACCAAGCACCATCATCATCAGCTCCACCACCAGCACCATCACCATCAGCACCACCACCATCAGCATCACCACCATCATCAGCACCACCACCATCATCAGCACCACCATCAGCACCACCACCATCATCATCAGCACCATCAGCACCACCAGCAGCACCATCAGCACCTCCACCACCATCAGCACCATCATCAGCACCACCACCACCACCAAGTTTGAACCAAAATCTGCACGGCGAGAATCGTTGTTGTACCCCTCCCCCCCCATACCGTGGGGTAAGATTGCCTTCTGGTGAGGTTTGTCGCTTACACAAAACGTGACAATTTAACACGTAGGAGGCTTTTGCGGCCAATATCCATAATATAGTTTTTTAGGGTTAGATCTAACCCATAATACAGATTTTTAGGGTTAGATCTAACCCATAATACAGATTTTTAGGGTTAGATCTAACCCATAATACAGGTTTTTAGGGTTAGATCTAACCCATAATACAGTTTGTTAGGGTTAGATCTAACCCATAATGCAGATTTTTAGGGTTAGATCTAACCCATAATACAGGTTTTTAGGGTTAGATCTAACCCATAATATAGTTTTTTAGCGTTAGATCTAACCCATAATACAGGTTTTTAGGGTTAGATCTAACCCATAATATAGTTTATTAGGGTTAGATCTAACCCATAATATATTTTTTTAGGGTTAGATCTAACCCATAATACAGATTTTAGGGTTAGAGCTAACCCATAATATAGTTTTTTGAGGGTTAGATCTAACTCAATACAGTTTTTTGAGGGTTAGATCTAACCCATAATGCAGTTTTTTAGGGTTACATCTATCCCATAATACAGTTTTTTAGGGTTAGATCTAACCCATAATATAGTTTTTTGAGGGTTAGATCTAACCCATAATACAGTTTGTTAGGGTTACATCTATCCCATAATACAGTTTTTTAGGGTTAGATCTAACCCATAATACAGTTTTTTAGGGTTAGATCTAACCAATAATACAGTCTTTTAGGGTTAGATCTAACCCATAATACAGTTTGTTAGGGTTAGATCTAACCCATAATACAGTTTTTTAGGGTTAGATCTAACCCATAATACAGATTTTTAGGGTTAGATCTAACCCATAATATAGTTTTTTAGGGTTAGATCTAACCCATAATACAGTTTTTTAGGGTTAGATCTAACCCATAATACATATTTTTAGGGTTAGATCTAACCCATAATACAGATTTTTAGGGTTAGATCTAACCCATAATATAGTTTTTTAGCGTTAGATCTAACCCGTAATACAGGTTTTTAGGGTTAGATCTAACCCATAATACAGATTTTTAGGGTTAGATCTAACCCATAATACAGATTTTTAGGGTTAGATCTAACCCATAATATAGTTTTTTAGCGTTAGATCTAACCCATAATACAGGTTTTTAGGGTTAGATCTAACCCATAATATAGTTTATTAGGGTTAGATCTAACCCATAATATATTTTTTTAGGGTTAGATCTAACCCATAATACAGATTTTAGGGTTAGAGCTAACCCATAATATAGTTTTTTGAGGGTTAGATCTAACTCAATACAGTTTTTTGAGGGTTAGATCTAACCCATAATGCGGTTTTTTAGGGTTACATCTATCCCATAATACAGTTTTTTAGGGTTAGATCTAACCCATAATATAGTTTTTTGAGGGTTAGATCTAACCCATAATACAGTTTGTTAGGGTTACATCTATCCCATAATACAGTTTTTTAGGGTTAGATCTAACCCATAATACAGTTTTTTAGGGTTAGATCTAACCCATAATACAGTTTTTTAGGGTTAGATCTAACCCATAATACAGTTTGTTAGGGTTAAATCTAACCCATAATACAGTTTTTTGAGGGTTAGATCTAACCCATAATACAGTTTTTTAGGGTTACATCTATCCCATAATACAGTTTTTTAGGGTTAGATCTAACCCATAATATAGTTTTTTGAGGGTTAGATCTAACCCATAATACAGTTTGTTAGGGTTACATCTATCCCATAATACAGTTTTTTAGGGTTAGATCTAACCCATAATACAGTTTTTTAGGGTTAGATCTAACCCATAATACAGTTTTTTAGGGTTAGATCTAACCCATAATACAGTTTGTTAGGGTTAGATCTAACCCATAATACAGTTTTTTAGGGTTAGATCTAACCCATAATACAGTTTTTTAGGGTTAGATCTAACCCATAATACAGTTTTTTAGGGTTAGATCTAACCCATAATACAGTTTTTTAGGGTTAGATCTAACCCATAATACAGTTTGTTAGGGTTAGATCTAACCCATAATACAGTTTTTTAGGGTTAGATCTAACCCATAATACAGTTTTTTTAGGGTTAGATCTAACCCATAATACAGTTTTTTAGGGTTAGATCTAACCCATAATACAGTTTTTTAGGGTTAGATCTAACCCATAATACAGTTTGTTAGGGTTAGATCTAACCCATAATACAGGTTTCTTGGTAGTGTACCGGTTAGCGCTACGCTGCGCTACGAACTCCGGCTATGATCCGAGTTCAATTCCCGCTCACAGCCACCAAGACCGGTGACGATTATCCGAACTGGTTCTGGTTCTCCTCTAGGCTGACTCAGCCTCAAATGAGTACCTGGTGCGGTGTGTAAACATCGCCATTAGGGAGACAAAGGCGGCCGGGCGTGGGTGCTGGCCACCCGCCCCCTCGTGTGCCGTGCCGGCCTTCAAAGGAGCGACTCGCTAAACAGCACTTGCCCCAACAGTCTGTTACAGGCTACACGGGGAATCTTTGTCTTGTTGTGCAGGAGTGGTCGTGAAGCAAGAGGAAGACGAATGGATGAGTCTGCACGCCGAGACGCTGAGGATTGTCGTGAAAACGGAAGTCCAGGAGGATGGTAAGAGACCTACACCACAGGTGCAGTGAGACCCGAACTGAAGGCAAGATCTCAAGACATCTAAGAGTAGCACAGTCTGGTTTTCCTACAACGCCGCGCGTTGTTTTCACAACGCGATTGGATATGCAATGCGATGAATGTATTAGGGAACACGTTTTTACTTGTTATAACGTGGACGCAAATTGGATTTACAGGTGTGGAGGATCCATACTCTTTGGTTCTTTCGGTAAAGTCGCGTTGGTTAGAAAAGTAAATGAAACTAAAACAAATAAAAATTAAATCACGACGTTTCGGGGCGTTAGCAACACAAGCCCCCGTCATCAGGTGGGACCACCACAGCTAGAAACAACTGCTGGGAATGGGCAAGGGGGCTACAGTTAAACGTCGTGATTATTTTTTTAAATCTATTTTATTTATTTATTTTCTTTCCCTACGTGGCGACTTTACCGAAAGAACCAAAGAGTATGGATCCTTGCAGTCACGAAAACTTCACATCTAGAAGGTGTAGAGGGGTAATATGGAGACGTGACATCATGCACCCTGTCCAGTGCAATGACGTCATGTGACGTGACGTCATGCGCGCTTGGTGGGGCGATGGCGTCATGTCTCACCGGGGTACTTTAGGGGGGGACCCCGTGACGAAAGCGGGGTCGTTGTGGGAGCCCGGGATGGAGAGCGGTTGAAGAGACAGCCACGGGCAGAGGTCAGGGAGTCTGGAGAGAAGCCGGCTGTAGTCACAGCAGGTGCTGCTTTCCCCGGTCGGTCGGTGTTGGCTGAACCCCCGATCCGACTCGAGGGAGAGAGCCCTGGAGCTAGCCGTGCTAGGAACAGACAGGGTGAAGGTCCTCCTCTAGGACCCAGTGTGGGGCACCGATCCCTGGTGGAGTTTATTTAAACCCTTAATAAATAACCGGCGCAAGCCCTTAACCAAAGACCTGCCTCAGCATCGTCATTTGCGCCTTAACACAGGGACTCTTCTATTTACGAACGAGTTAGGTTCCAGAGGTCTGTTCGTAAGTCGATTTGTTCAACTTTACTCCTTTCGACTCCAAACACGTTGTACGACGTGTACGCTAAACAGGGAATGGCTAAGTTATATAATGTCCTGCAGATGTAGATGCCACTGGTTCTTAACGTTCCGCAGATATAGATGCCACTGGTTCTTCACATTCCGCATATGTAGATGCCACTGGTTCTTCATGTTCCGCAGATGTAGATGCTACTGGTTCTTCACGTTCTGCAGATGTAGATGCCACTGGTTCTTCATGTTTTGCAGATGTAGATGCCACTGGTTCTTAACGTTCCGCAGATATAGATGCCACTGGTTTTTCACGTTCCGCAGATGTAGATGCCACTGGTTCTTCACGTTCTGCAGATGTAGATGCCACTGGTTCTTCACATTCCGCAGATGTAGATGCCACTGGTTCTTCACGTTCTGCAGATGTAGATGCAACTGGTTCTTCACGTTCTGCAGATGTAGATGCCACCACCACTGCCATGTATTGCACAGTGATTGAACTTATGACTCTCCGTCCGAACAGGCAACTGGACATACGGACCGGGTTTGTTCGTACCTCTTGGTAGAGGAGTCCCTTTATAACGCGATCGAGTGAACGGAACTATGTTGCTGCAAGTAGGAATAAGCCGGTGGTTGTAACGGCAGCCTCGGCGTAGCATCGTCATCGCACATGAGGCATTGGCGATGATGCTGGATGCTTCTCGACGCTTCCCACCATGCGCCTCGGTCTTTATTCAGTCCCCTGCGTTATGCATCTCGCGTGTTATCGCGGACTGTTGCTTTACCCCCTACATTGTATATGTGATTTAATCGCGATTTTTTTTCTTCCATAACGTGGTGTTCTTTAGGAACGCAACTACTACCCCGCTATGGGATCAGACAGATGGTGTAAGGGTTAAAGGGTTTAAATTTCGATTTAAAGCTTTCGTGACTGCAAGGATTCATCTTCCTCTAGACAGTCTCGTCCCTTCACCTGATGAAGGCCACTTGTGTTGTGGCCGAAACGTGAGAATTTTATTGTGTTATTTTATTTTATAAATTTATTATTTTATTCTCATTCTACGTGACTTTACCGAAAGAACCAAATAAGGTTAAAGGGTTTGTCGCCGACCATCTTGGCCGCGTGTCTTATCCCCCGTGACGCGCGCCGATAGCTTCCCTTCAGCGGCCGCGGGTGCGCCCCTTCCCCAATTACAGCTTCGGATCTGAAAACCGTTAAAGTGGAAGGAGGCAGCGAGAGGCCAGAGGAGACGACAGAGACCCGTGGGTGTTTGGTCACCGGAGACGAGAACTACATCAAGGTGGAGCTGTCGGCAGAGGACATTGGTGAAGGCGAGTCCATCGTTTTTCATTTCACTCCGCCCCGTCCAGAGACCCCTCTTATAGAGGTCACTGACTTGGTCCGTGACCTATTTTTTTATTTTTTTTTTGCCTTTGCTTAACCATCGAACATCGAGACAGGGTGGTCACCGCCTCGCGGGGCTTTGCGGATGCGCTTCCGCGGCCGTCTGGAATGACTCTTCGTTCCGACATGAGGAAGCCACAGCATTTACATTTCGGGTGCTGGGTTTACTCTCCAACACACAACGGGTTAGTGCCGTACCAGTAATGAATTGGCAAGTTTTGTTTGCGTGACAAACCTTTACTTATCGGCTTTGTTGGGTGGTGGCGGGTTTAACGACACATTTATTTTTTTATATTATCAGAGCATGTTCGTTTGCATGTTCACCACAAGTACCGTGTGGGGTTAATGCAGTAACTTGATTCCATGAAAAAGGTTTCTATTTGGTGTTTGAACATCTTAACACAACTCCGGTTACATTGCCAGAGAGGGCAAAACCTATAATTATCGTTTCATGCATTCATATTCACGCGGTTTAACCCCCAAAAAACCTCTGCAGTGGATAATGTTGGACGCGAAAGCCTACTTAAGCTAGTCTTCCACCGTTGGCGATCGGTGGCGTTTGTCACGGTACATTTTTTTCTGCATTTCCAGCTCCGGTTCTGAAGGCCGTTAAGGTGGAAGGAGGAACCAGCGAGCGGCCGAAGGTGACGGCGGAGTCCCGCCGGTGTTCTGTCACCGAGGACAAGAACTTCATCGAGGTAGAGTTGTCGGAGGAGGACGTCGGTGAAGGTGAGCCGCGTTTTATCCGCAACTCTCTCGCCGTTCAGCCCCCCCCCCCCCCCCCCTTTTACACAGGCCGGTTGGTCCCCCCCCCCACCCGCCCCACCCGCCCCACCCACATCCTCACTTGTTGGCGATCGTACGTTACACAGTAGACTTTCGATTATCTGCGCGTGCGGTTAATCCCATTTGCAGATTAACTGCGCACATGAGATTTTGACGTACATTAACAACTCACGGATTTTCCCTTCGGCCCAAATAAATAATCTAAAAAACAGTTATGCACCAATCTTATTCTTGGAATTTTTTTTATTCAGGTTAAACCGAACAAATATGTTGCTCCGGTTAATCCGAAATCCACGCGGTCGCCTCTGCAGTTCAGTAGTTGCCATATCTTTACAACAGTGGGTGGGGCGGAGTTTGATGGATGCTGATTGGGCGTGGCTCTGCTGCTGTCATTCACTCAGTGGGCCGAGTCTTCTGCGTGGGAGCAGAAAAGTGTCATCATCACTGAGCTCGCGCATCATCGATAGTTTCGTTTTTGTATGGACTTTGGCAATAAAACAAAAGCAATACATTCAATCTTGATTTGAAGCTTTACATCACTGCAGGAATCCACACTCTTTGGTTCTTTCGAATTGCTGGATTCTTTTTTTTTATGCCTTAGGACGACCGTTTGTGTTGCCATCGGAACGTCGTGATATATTATTTTTTTAAAATTTAATTTAATGTTTCTACCTGCGTACCTTTACCGAAAGAACCAAAGAGTATAGCAATACATTCATTACGGATTTTTTTTTTATTTTGCCAATTAACAAACTCACTTTTCTTAACTTATACATAATTAACACCTAATATTAGTGGCTTTGGCATGGGCCATCCGCCAGGGAAATTACGGACGGTGAACCAGAGCTTGAGGATCAGATGACCTTCGTAGCAACGGTCAGGACCACAATGCCAGTTCCCCAGGATTGTAAATTGCCCCCAGCGAGTAGAAGAGTGACTGCATCGATCATAACACGAGACTGGGGCATCTTGCTCATCATTGTCCCGTGGAAACCAACAATGCATACACTGCTAACGCCGTGGAAATTATCACTTTATCTTCCTTGCGTCTGTTAAGCGAACCCTGAATGGTTGTTCTTCTTCTTCTTCGTTCAGCAAATCATGACGCAAAGGAAACGGAACTCCCGTGCGAGGAGTGCGGGAGGGGCGGACGCTTCGATGCACAGACGGACAGAGCGACGGAACGCAGCAGCGGCGGCAGCACCAAGACCCCTCGAGCCTGCAAGCGGTGCGGGAAGTCACTCGGAACCGGTGCGCCGTCACGCACGAGAGTCGCCGGCGACAGGAAGAAGCCGCACGCGTGCAAGGAGTGCGGGAAAGGCTTCACGCGTCTCTCCAACCTGGAGAGGCACGCGACGACGCACTCCCTTGACAGACCGCACGCGTGCAAGGAGTGCGGGAAGGCTTTCGCGCAGCGTTGCACGCTGGAGGTGCACGCGAGGTCGCACACCGGCGAGAAGCCGCACGTCTGCGTCGAGTGCGGCAAGGGCTTCGCGGCGCGCCACATTTTGGAGGCGCACGCGAGGTCGCACACCGGCGAGAGGCCGCACGCGTGCGCCGAGTGCGGCAAGGGCTTCGCGCAGAGCTCCACGTTGAAGGTGCACCTCAGGACGCACACGGGCGAGAAGCCGCACGCGTGCCAGGAGTGCGGCAAGGGCTTCGGGCAGAGCTCCGATTTGAAGGCGCACGTCAGGACGCACACGGGCGAGAAGCCGCACGTGTGCAAGGAGTGCGGCAAGGGCTTCGGACTGGGCTCCACGTTGAAGGCGCACGCGAGGACGCACACGGGCGAGAGGCCGCACGTGTGCAAGGAGTGCGGCAAGGGCTTCGCGCAGCGGTCCACTCTTGAGGCGCACGGCAGGACGCACAGCGGCGAGAAGCCGCACGTGTGCCAGGAGTGCGGCAAGGGCTTTTCCCAGCGCTACACCTTGAAGATACACTCCAGGACGCACACCGGCGAGTGGCCCCACGTGTGCCAGGAGTGCGGCAAGGGATTCGCGCGACGCTCTGACCTGGAGAAACACAGGAGCACGCCGGTGAGAAGCCGCATGTGCGCCGGGAGTGTGGGGATCGTTTTTTCTCAACGTCATACTGTGACGGCAAAATTCCAGGACACACTCAGCACTCGACTTAACCCTTCCCCCCCCCCATTCCGAGACGTCTGCTCGTAGGCAGGGTTGGCGTTGATTTTACTTAGAGAGAGGCGTAGTAGCGGTGGCGCCGTTGTTTTTTTTTTAGAGACGTCCTTACTCACCGCAGAGAACCGTAGCGACACGACCGCCGCCGCCACTCTACGATGGCCGGCGCCAAAACTGTGCCACGCTCCTTCCCCGCACGGCCTTGTGAGAGCCTCGGTGTACCAATAAAGTTACTTCAGTATATTTTTCGGGTGTCGCTTTGACTATGTACACGTACGTCATCGGAATGGAATCGGGGGGGAAAAAAATCGATGGCGTACACACGTACGTACACGTGTGTACGTCATCGCCAACGGGGGTGGGGAGGCACACACATTACACACACACACATGGGTAAGAAGCGGCACGTGCGTGCTAGGAGTGTGGGATAAGGGTTTTTTTTTTTTAATCAACAGTCACCACTTTCGGAACACACCTGAAAACGCAGACCGGGCGGGGGGAGTTGTGACCCGTTGACGCGTCCACACATCCGGTCCCGTGCCCGCGAGATCCGTTTGGGAGACCAGCGCGCGCGCGTTTTGGGGGACTTGCTCCCGTCGAGCATTGCGAGGCAGCGCGAGGCGAGAATCGGCAAGCGAAGGAAACGGAGCTCCCGTGAAGGGGCTTTTTGTCGCTTTGGGAAGCAAGCAAAACATGTGTCGTGTGAAGACGACGTCACGAGTGTTGACGACGTCACGGGTGAAGACGACGTCGCGAGTCGAGGAGACGCGAGGCGCGGCGATAGATACATTGGGATAGAGCCACAGAGGGACACGCAGATAGATATGTAGATGGACTCGGGACATCCAACGTCGGATATGAGGACCTTTATTGTAGCACACCGAGTCGCACGCCTCCAGCCACCATTCCTCCCAGCCCCCTTCTCGACGCTCTCCTTGTATCCCTGCCCCCCTCCCTCTCGTCCCCCCTCTTCCTCCACCAATCCCATCTCTCTGCCACCCACCCAACCGACTCCCCGCTGTCTCCTCCCCCATATTCCACTTTCCCCGACCCCGAGGTGTAATCAAGTGCGAGGATAATATGCAAAGTAAGAATAGATCCTCCTCCGGGGAAGGAAACCCGTGAGCCATCCTCGGCCCAGCATAGTTACCAACAAACCCCTTTGATGGCCAAGGAATTGGCATTTGTAACCACAACAACAACTGTGTAGGAGAACTGCAAGGAGAAAGTGATGAAGTGTACGCGTTGAGATGATTGCGAAGAGGTGGCTGAGGGACGCTGTAAAGAGGGACGGCAAAATGTTCCACGTTGACGTGATTGAAGACACTCGCCCTAAGTGGGGTGAGGGGGGCAACTTCGATTCGGAGGCGGGGCCGAGAGGGAATATACAGGGTGTTTTAAAAAGATGGACCCGATTTGAAATCGTTATATCTCTGCAACCACGAACCGCCCATGAATGAAACTGACCACTTGAAAGAGCGGGGCATAGAGTTTCAAATGATTACCGCGAGATGCCTCTCCCAGCGCACAAACAGCCCCTAGCCTCAGTCATTCGCAAGATCGCGACCCCGCAAAACGCCTTGTTTTGCGTTCTTCAGTTCGGCAAGACTGAATCCGTAATTGCGGTGCAGTGTGCGTTTCAATGGCGTTTTGGCATCGATCTGCCAATGTCAAAGAGCATTCGTCGTTGGTACCGACGATTTGAGGACACGGGCTGCTGTTGATGTAAGGGGAAGAGCACAGGGCAACCACGCACCTCAGAGGAAAACGTGAGAAGAGAGGCGTTTGGGACGAATTCAACTATCGTCTCGATGTTGTCCGTACAGCAGGTGGATAGCTCATTAAACCGTTTGTAACTTTTTGTGTAATTGTAACATGTTGCCCTCGTGAAATATACTGCTTTGAAATTTGGTGACTCATTTTAAAACACCTTGTATAAGGGGAGCGAGGCCCATCAGTTGGGGCCCAACATGCTCCCGAGGTGGACGACTTCGGGGCTCACTGTTGGCGGAGCGACGAGGTGGAAACCCTCGGGGCTGACTGTTCACGGAGCTGTATAACATGTTATTCTTTGGAAATTAAAGACTTCACCTTTTTAGAATGGACGTCTCCAAAGAGCATCTTTACGACTGCAATGTAGAATGATAATTTAGGAACGAACACGTCTCACGTCTATTATAAGTATCAACAATCGTAATGTAATGGTTTTTTTGGGGGGGGGGGTTAGGTCGCGTAAATGTATAAATGTGTCGTTAAAACCTGCCACCACCTGCCACAGCCAACTAGTAAAGGTTTTAACGACACATTTATATATTTATGCAATCTTAATCCCCCAAAAAACCTCTTATGGATGTTTTATCTACGATGAGGTGCGTGTGTCATGAGACGTGGGAAATCACGTCATCTTTTGTGTGTGTGTATATAGCAGGGGTGATGTAAGCCCATTGTCTCATCATACCTGTCAACCCCTTATCAGTGTCCTGCCTTATTACAGACCAATTCAGACCTTACTGGTCACCCCGTGCCCCTTATAAATCTCAACGTTCAGCCTACAAAGTCCCATCACAAGGAGAGAAACAAACACATAGTAGGCCTCGGCAAGGTAAACTAAAAGGTAAAATAAACGAGCCTACCTTTACCCTACCTTTTACCTTACCACAATACAATCACTCTACCCTACCTTTTACCCTTCAGCAGGTAAGGTAAAAGGTTAAAAGCAACGAGCCTAACTTTACCCAACCTTTTACCCTTACCCCATACAAATTACCCGATTACAGAGCAATTACTGGGGTACTACACATGAAAAAGGTTTATAACAGGTAAATGCTAGGTAGAGTGCTTTATTCATATAGAGTACTCTCAATGATTCCAATTTACACGGTTTCTTTTAACTCTGTTGTTGATGTTGTATCCTCAAATCTTGTAACTGAATTTAAACCCACTTCACAATGTGGTTTCGACTGCAAACTTGGTATACGTATGTCATACTGATGACTACTATATTTTATCATTAAAAATAAAATACAAATATTTTTAAACATTTTTTATATGTTATGTTTCGGCTTGGGTCTAATTATCCACGGTCAACTGACGTTGGCTGTAATTGGCCACGGCCCCTTACGTTGTGGCGAGCTTCGGGGCCACTTCCTGGAGTCATGGGGTTCTGAGATTACTCGGAGATTTCATAAAAGCGTGTTTAAAAAAAAGTTTTGTTTAAAATATTAATTATTAAATGGAGGCCACGGACTGCGCCACGCAGCTTTTAGCGGTAAACAAGGCACCGTATTTACCGGGTAACACTTCGCGCTACCTTTACCCTACCGGGTAATTCTTCCGCGCTACCTTTACCCTACCCTTTACCTTACCCCTTGGCATGTCGACACCTTTACCCTTTTACCTTTACCCTTTTACCCGGCAAAAAGGTAAATTACCTTACCTTGCCGAGGCCTACACATAGACAATATTTTTTTTCCAGTATTGAAACGGCTGCACGCACGTATGGACTTGAAAATAAAATTTCCCTGTACTAGAATACGGTTAAACCCAATAGGTTGACAGGTATGTCTCACGATTTCTAGAAAGTGGCGTATTTTGGTTTCTCCTTCAACCACGACGACCCCTGTGTGGAGGCATATGTGAATTTGCCCTGTAATAAACAATAACCTATACAGTCAATCCGTTTTCTGCTTTGTATGTATTTGGTTTTCCCTGATATTCCGGGCTCGTGCATGGCTGATCGGCCCTTCGTAATGACTTTGTCACCGTAGTTCTTGGGGTCCAGGCGCTACCGTCGGTCCTGAAGAGAGAAAATTCTGGGTTAGGTCGAGACGAGCGCACGGGCGGCAGCGGTGTGTTTTGTGTGCATGGCTGGTTTGTTGACTCGGGGAAGGCAGGGTTTCAGCCTCGACAAGGTGAACAAACCATACTCTTTGGTTTTTTCGCTAAAGTCACATAGGTAAAAAATTAAATGAAAAAACAACTAAATTAAATCACGACGTTTCGGAGGTGTAGTGTTGTAAGGACGAGCAGACTTCTTTAGGAGGCACACTCTGTTTATTGTATTATTTCCTTATACATCGCTTAACACACACAGAGGGATATTCGGTCCCCTCACCCGATACCCTAGGGAGGTACAGCCTCCGGACTTGGCGGGACTCACACGTCTACCGCTAACCTCCTTGATACCTAAGGAGGTACAACCTCCGGACTCGGCGGGACTCACACGTCTACCGCTATCCTAGTCCTCCGGCTAGGACCTAAGGGAGGCTATCTGACCCACCGCTGGCCCGGTGGGTCCTGACCACTGGGTATGCCGAGCCTTAGCCCTTAGAAGGGCTGAAAGGCTGGTCCAGGGTCCTAGCTAGGCTTCAGCCCAGTCTTCTGTCTTCGTGCAGGGAGCGAACTCCACGAGGTCCGTTGGGTCACCCGTCTTATACCCCTTCGTGGTCAGGTATAACCAATCATACATTCCCACGTGGAACCGTCTGATTGGTTCGCACCAAACCCTGGCCACGATCCGTTTCACCTCGACTGACCCCAACCGTTGTACCCAGGAGTAATGCTGCACCGCCCTGGTGGCAACGCAGGTTACGCAACAGCGCGTAGTTAACACCTCTACATCACCCCCTCCTTCGGAAGCTCCAGCCGTCCCGGCTGCAACAATGGGAAACTCCGAAATTACCAATGGTAGAAGAATTGTGAGTGTGCCTCACGAACAACAAGAACAATTAAACCCCTATAAATACCCCCCTTAACAACATAACGTATGTATAAGGCACTAGACATGCCAAAAAAACATAACAACCGGCGAGATTTCGCGCGCGTGCGTTTCGCGGGACCATCGTAGGGGATGGCAGGCTTTGTCGGCGGCACAAGGGAAGGAGGAGGATGAGCCAGAGCATCCGGTGGGCCTTTATGCATCTCCACGGGGACACCTGCTGCTCCACGGTCCATTGAGGCCGAACGTGGCCTGCATGGAGCCGTCACTCCCGCGTCATCTGCAGGAGGAATGACACGCCTGCGCTGCGGGTTAGGCAGCAACGGGGCAACATCCGGCTCATCGGACGCGTCGCACACTCGGCCCCCATGTCGTGTGTGTTGTGGAGGGACGCGTGGCGTGACGAAGGGTTTTAACCGAGAGGGGTGAACGCACCAGCGACGCCGTCCCCAGCTAATTTTAACACATTGGGGACGCAGGACTTCCACTACCTCAACCGGGCCTCGCCATGGTCTGAGGAGTTTGG